ACGTTTTGTTTTTGAACTACACCATATTTAAATTTCATAAAATCACTACAGCAATTTTAATTCTCTCTTTAACATACTAACAGCTCAAAATGAAACTAAGACAATGTGATTGGTTCAAATAAGAAATATTTCTTATAAGAATCATCTATATGATAAAGGAATAGAGATTCCAATGAAAAAAGGAAATATCATTTTTGTTATATATTTCAATTTCGTCCAAATCCGCTTGAAAGAATTATAAAACTAATAGGAGCAAAGTTTCTAGTCTTGCATAACTTTTACGGTGATAGGGCCACGCAGCAGCCTCGGTTGTTGCACGAATGGGCAGGCTCGTCCTGGTAAGTACCACGACCTCACAGAAGACCGGCGTAAAGTGGAAGTGTAATACTTTCGCGTTTCGTCTGGTGAGTGAGGTGGCCGGAGCCCAATTTTCAAAAGGTTGTCAACGCATCTGTAACCCTCGGGTGTAGCGGATGTCCATGGGCGGCGGTATTCACTTAACACCAGGTGAACCGTCTGCTCGCTTGGCAACTTTTCACATAAAATAAATAAAATAAATAAATAACCATTACAGGTACCGACGGCATAAGTATACGCTCGAAAAGGAAGCATTAATTTCATTAATTAAATGAATTTGAAAAGGTCTGAATTGTCGGGTTCAAATCCAATAGCTTAAAATGGCGAATGATAGTTGTTCAGGAAAACAAATTTACGGGTTTTTTTCGCATTTAATTATTATGGGAAATTTACGGTACAAAAAAAGTGTGTGTGTACTTATGTACAAGCGTTAGAAGTTATACTTCTTTGGCGTAACAAGATAAAAATCTTTTCAAAAATTTTATCTTTCGCCTTATTCTACGTTTGAAGAAAAAACGACAACAATAACAATAGAAACGATAACAATAGAAAAAAGGTATTTAATACATTAAGAAAGTTTTATTATAACGCATTATCTAGTTAAATAAAGTTTATTTAAATATAACAAAATAAATATAGTGAATGCACTTGTCAATTCTCACGCAACCATACGTAGATGTCTAGCTAACTTCAGGGTGTCGCTTTTTCGTGACGGTGTGCGCGCGCATCGTAAAAATTTACTCTCATCATTTATCCCTAACGCGCCAAAAGAAGCATAACTTCAAAAATTAAAGTAGGTACGTAAATTAAAAATATGTATCACAATGTGAATGATAGTTATTTTTTGTTAAATAATTACTGCTCTTTTTTTACTCAATTTACGGGACGACGTGTAGGTACATAATATAATTTATCTTTATATTAACCCCTTACTATTTAGTTATTACTCGTCTCACTTCGTGTTTAGTCATATATTTGAAATAACAATCATGCTTATAAAAGAAACTATAACACATATCATCGATGATACGTTACCAAACATTAAAATGTACGTTTCACTTTTGATTTCGTACACCAATAAATAAAACAAAATTTTCATTAAGATTTTCAGCAATTTCTCCTCGAACCACTCAGCGCCATCTGTTGACCCCTTCGGCCAATTCTCGCCGTGATAGCTAATTGTCCGAGCGCTCACTTTTAATTCAATATACTCAAGCAACCTGAGTTCAATTCCCGGAACCGGCACCAAAGAAATTGTTAATTTTAAGTGCTGACTTATCACGTTCTCAGCGGTGAGGGAAAGCATCGGAAGCAAACCTGCATATTTTCGAAATGATAACAAAATTAAAATGTTTCGAAGATATATGAAGTTCGCAAAATCGCAGTGGGGCCGCATGGTGAACTATGCATTGAGACATGTATAGGCTTTTTACTTACTACTTTAAGAAAATTAACATTGCAATTAAAAACGTTTTTTCTTTTGCACTTGATAATGGGACTTACGCACTTATGAGCGAATGATATTTTTACAAAATTAGTTCTTTGTCTAACACCGCTCATACCATAAGTGAAGAATTAGTGTGAACCGCGCATGTTATTAAGAAAATAAAAAGAGATTATTCATAACTAGCTATTTGGCGTAGACGGAATAAATCAACGTTGTGTAACCTAAGTACGTTAGAGGTTTCTCAAAATAAACAAGAGGAATATGCCAACAAGATTATTTAAGTATCATGTAAATATCATTTTAAAAGTTATAATCGTGAAGTCCACCATACCTACCAATTTACCACGCAATAAAATAATAAACTAAATACTTTTATATATGCATATATTTCTCTAAGCACCCCACCCCCTATAAAATCATCTTATTAACATAAATTTCAAACTAGATGAACCTTTATATCCCTGAAATTGTTTCTATGATAAGTCTATAATTTACCGTAATCCCTTAAAAATCGTTTATATGTGTGTGTGTGTGTGTCTATGGCCATAAATATACAGTTATCCAACCTATTCGCCTCAAATGAAGAGTCACAATGAATAACAAAAGACTATATTGTAAATACGGTGAAACCAAGTGGCACACGTTTAATTATATTGTAACAAGTGAACGATAAAATAAAAATTGCCAATGCCACTAACAATGAATTATAACTTTTACATACAACAGTGTAAACATAATAAATTATTATGTTATTATTAAAGAACAATGTGGTTTTGCCATTGTCTTGTTACGAGTTCTTATATTCCATTGTTCGCATTTATCGCGTTTAAAACGGTCAAGATTTTTTAAAGGTTTACGCCTTTTGAGAATAGATTAGGTCTTGACCATAGAGGTAAATTTCTTTTTTTTTTTAAGAAAAAAAACGTCTATATGTCATTTGCCAAATCCCTTGTCTTTTAAATTAATTAAACAGTGCAGAATCAGAATAAAACTTAATAAAATAAAATATTCACGTGCAAAAAGCTTAACTAACTCGCAGCGGGTAAGAAAAAAAAGGGTATAATTGATAGTTAGTAAATTGACTCCACGACATCGGAATTAATAACTCGACAAATAACAAAATCTAAACTGCAATTGTTTTGAATTCGGGTTTATTTTTATTGTCTTTCTCAACTCCGTAAACTGGACTAAGTAGTCAGTATAACTGGTTCACGAAGAAGTAATTTTTTTTCTAGATCATGTCTATATTTATCATAATTCTGTGATCAGAAAAAGCTATTAAGCTATTTTTAACATGCCCCTCGGAATTAATTTCGCGGCAAATTATGGTCTGCCCGCCTTTACCTGAAATAGCTATCGGCGAACTAAAGATTATAATACTTCTGGATGCAGCTGGATAATTCCTTTAATCATCTACCACATAGGAACGGGATGAAAATAGTTTTTATAGTCTTTTAAATATATTATCTACTTTATATATGCAACTGGCTGGTTTTTACTTTGACTTTTTTTTAATTTCTCTAAAATTACCATAACCTTTGCAAAAAAGTAATCTCATTCAATGATACCAATCCAGACAATCTAAGAACCATGAATTAATAATTCACATGCGTTCTAGAAACATTTTCGGCGTTATTTAAAACTTTATTTTAAATTTATTTCGCTATAGATTGATAATATGTACGTAAAAGTTTTTATAGTGCGTACTCTCTTTTTTACTACTTAAAAATTAAAATATATAAAAATAAAAGGTTTTTCAAATAAATTTAAGGAGTAACTCAGCGTTACATCACTACATTAAAGTTATTTGTTTAAACATAAATAACCCAAAAACTCGAGCAGCGCGATAAATTTACGTATAATTCAAGACAATTAGCACTTGAACAAATAATTAATAAAAAGAGTTTCGATGTTAAACAAATTAATTATATTTTGAGTGATTAATTGCTTGCTACACGTGAATTAAATATTTGAGTTTTTCTATTTACTTTCGTTTATCATTATTTTTGGTATCGCTTCTAGTAAATTATTTCTAAATAAATACTGTATTTTAATATAATTTAATTTCGCATTATCACTTCCACAATTTCATTTCTACGTCAAAATTCGCTTGTAAAATATAATATAATGTAGATTATCTACTATCCAATGTTGAAGCCTAATTAATTTATTTACATGTAATAATACTTTCAGACATTTACTTAAATAATCCTTGTAGTTCAGTGAAATAAAACCTACAAAAGTTTTAGTTTTATACATGGATTTATTAAATTATAAATATGTATCTTTTAGCTTGATAGAAATGTTACAGTTAAATTCTAAAATTTATTTATTTGATTTGGCAGATTAAAAAAATATTTACGGCACCTAAAAATCATTATTGCTATTTATCTCTACTGGTGAAAAATGTTCAAATTGCTGAGTATTAGTACTTATTGGTAAATAATTTTTGTGTGAGTTTTAACAATATCATTTAGCGAGGCGACATCCTCGCAAAAGGAAAGGTTAATTAAGAAAAAATTATTTTTAAGCACACTCAATTATTAAAAGACTTTCTTTCACATTTTTTTAATTTCCACCTGAATTAAATTTTTCTTTTTGTCACTAATTATTTGGTTTGTAATTTTACGAGTATTTTTTTCTTTTTAATATAAGTATATTCCAGATTGTGGATATTTATGTTTCTTATATGTAATTTTTTCCATAGTCCATTTTAATTATCACTTTTTCGATTAGTTTGACGTAAAATTTGTTGTTAACGAGTATTTTATTAACTAAACTTTTCTTTTTGATATATTACCAATGAGATAAAACATCATTTTATTTGGCAACATTAATATAAGTCTATAAATCACGTGTGCTCTCAACTAAAAAATGAATATCCATTATTTAGGGCTATATCTAAAATATAAATTAACAACAAAAAAAATCCCCCGTACCTTTTTAAATCGCGCTCTTGCTCGTCACACAACAATCCACCATCGTGGTCAACATTAATTATTGCGAAAACAACGCCGCATCCATACTATCACTTGCACTGTCACTGAGCCGAACGCGCCGCGTGTCCTTTGCCTCGATAGTTCCAAAGTGACAACTGTCAAATTTGCCGCGCTCACCGTTACGGGGTTATGAGCGCGGGGGATCCGTCCGATTATTTCTCCCTAAATTATCTGATGCAGTTAAGAAAACTGTCGTGATGTTCACCGCACTGTCGTACGTGATCCGCGAATGCCTGTACCGACTGGCGAATAAGACTGGTCACCCCCCCTACCCAAAGGCGTGGTCTCCTGCCTACGCCTGGGCGGGGCCGCGTACTTTTTACTCTCTACCTATTTATACGTTGAAATTTCCCCGACGCCCGTGCCCGTGCTTTTATTTCACGTCCGACAGTTTATTATATTGTAATGTCTGTCTGTTTGTTCTTCATTTAAATAGAGGTGAAGTTGTCATTTCGTCATTGTGAGGCGCGGCGGACGTGCGCGATGATTTCGGGCCCGGCCGGATGGATTTGTTTGTTTTAATGAGCTTTAAGTGACATAAATATGTGAATGGGCGTTCATAACTTCACCCTAAAATGTTAGATACAATTTAATGAAATATTGTTGTTATTTTTTCTTTCATAAATAGCTTCTCTTAGAAGAATTCTGCCAATATTATGGCAGTCAAGGGAGACCCGTTTATTAATGTAGTATATGCGGCTACTTTCTTAAGCTCTGCCTAAGGGACGTGCGTTTTTGCATTTTACAATGAATCCAGATGTGAACCGCCGCTACCATGATACTAAGGATATTAGCAATGTCGCAATTCCAAGCACGCAACGCGGTGAATTCCGGAGTTTGCTTTGGAGCGGAATTTCGGGTTGCAATTACGGTTTAAAAGTAAATTTGGTATAGAATAAACTTAGAAACCGTGCTATACGTTACACGGCGCCGGATTTTTCCCGTCTTCATTGCTGTCTAATAAATCTTATACCAACTGTACTACTAACTTAACTGGGACTTTATAACTGAACAAACCAAAAATAAGATCTTTTCAAATGTAACCAAGATTTATGATTTACGCGAGTAAAATATTGCAGGTATAACCGGTGGTAGCGTTTCGACAATCAATAAGTATGTCTAATGCTTCCATATTGAATAATCAATTAAATATAAGTACTTGAATCTGAATAAATTCTATTAGTCTTAAAAGAAATGTCTTTTTAATTGTCAGCACAAAAAACACAGTCACTTCAAAATTCTTGACACTTATTATGTAGGGAAGATCAGAAATTCATAAGCTCTATTTTTAATGGTATAAGTGACAACTATAAAAAATGCTCCATATGAATATGTTTATTATTATTGCATATTAAGAAAGAAAAAAGAAATTTTTATTCGGCGCATTACATTATTTGAATTGGAAAAAGTAAAGAATAAGAGTAACACTAACCGGTTTATTAAAATTTTGTTATTCGTTTTTATTTGTACGAAAGCTCCCTTATATTATTCGCCAATTAAATGCCTTACTTACATTGAAATTCTTAACAGTAATACAATAAATTATTATATAACTATTATATATATAATTATATAACTATTATATATATATAATTATTATATAAAATATTATATAACAATAAATTATTAACAGTTCTTGCGAAAGTTACTATCTAGAGTCATTTGTTTAGTATTACTTATTTACTTATAGTTCTTGGTACGAAATTGTACAATTATTTTATGTAATACTGCCTTTAAAATGTATTTACAATAACAATATTCTACGGCGTACAATCGTAAAAACGCGCATTTTGTTATAAAACAAATATCAAATAGAAACGGCTTCGAATTGTATTTTTTTTATGGAGAAAAGGGGCAGCGAGCAGGAGGCTCACCTGATGGTAAGTGATTACCGCCGCCCATGAACACCTGCAACCCGAGGACTCACAAATGCGTTGCCGGCCTTTTGTATTGACACGGCCACTATTCGTACAAATCTGCATGCCATTCTAAGTCAAAGTCGAACTCAAAACGGTTTTATACAGTTATGAACTTGTTGCAACCTTTTATGGAGATGCAACTTGCGGATACGACGCACATTTCGCGATATTCGACCAGCCTAGAAGGCCTAAACCTTACAGAGATCACCCGTGAAGTGTAAATATCATTTTAGTCGCCTCGAACGTTAGACAGATTATAATTAAATAAATTCAACGATTTTAACTAAGCAAAGCTTCTAATATGAATAACCGATAAAGAGTACTCAAATCCATTTTTTTTTGTAGATAAATACGCGGTATAAATATATAAACACGGAGACACTAGAAAAAAAATACGTCGATCATGCGAAATTTTTCCAGAAGTGGGGATCAAACCCACAACCTGGCGTAAGAGACAGGATCAACTGCGTCATTCACATTCTACAAGCCCGCAGCAACATGGCTGAAATACACTAGTCGGCAATAATAGTTCTTTAAGTTTTTTATTTCCAAAGTGAAAAATCACCGAGCCATTTTGCTCGAAATCCGAGAAAGAGACAGGAACAGAATTTAATCATGAATGGTTGATTCGTTGCTGGTTAAATATGTAGCTCTGTCTCTATTGATCACCTACTTTATTTATTTGATTTTTATTTCGTTCAGAGAAAATAAAGCTACGTAAAAATAATATGTATAAATTCGGAACGAAAAAAAACATTTTTTTTTATTTGATGAAGTTATATCACCTCCTCTGCCACTAGACATCTTATAGCCTCCGCCATTGGACATCTACAATACACTTGAGGCTGGAGACGCTTGCCGACCGTCACAAAAGTGGGCCCCGGCTACCACACTCAGAAGGAATGCAAAAGTCATACTTCCGTTTCACGCCGGAATATAAGCGCGCAAGCGTCTATTGGAATAAATATATTTTTGATTTTGATTTTGATTTGATGCGGTTATTTTACTAGATAGAGTGATTCAAGAGGAAGGTTTATATATAATACATTGCAACCGTGCGAAACCGGGTCCGGGTAGCTAGTATAATATATTCACCATTAGGATTACAACCACTGGAGATGTATCCTTCCTCGATGTTGTTGTTTTACCTTTGAAAAATAATAATGAAAATCTCTTAAAATCAATCACACAAAACTGTTCCAATAAGTGGATGGAAGATGCAAGTGGGACTTAGACCACGCAACTGCGCACACTAGGAAACGGAACCCATAACTAGACAAATGTTTAGATTAGGACCGTTTGTTAATCACTATTCGGCTGATGAGTACAAGAAACATAGATCAAGACCGCAAATAAAATGAAATATATGAAAGAAAAAATATTTACTGAGATATAATAATAAGCATACATTTAGGACTCAATAAAATTTTAAGTACATCGTAAATCAATGATAATAAGCGATCTTTATAATAGTTTTGAGTACTCTGTTATAAGTAAAAAGATATCTAAAGCCTAGGGTTTCGCTCTTATATGTCTACAGTAAATTAGGATTACAGTAAATAGTTTAATACAAAAAAAACCTCATTTTACAGTTCGATTATTAAAGACAATATGTACATTTTAAATCCCATTCACATTTGCATAGTGAATCCTGCACTAGGTTAGCACCCTGTCTCGCAATGGTCGATAATACAAACTAAAGTATTTTAAAACAACAGTATGATGTGGAGTGCAATCGGATAGTTTGTTAGTATAACAGTGTGTGAGGTGCATGAGTCTACTATATGAGAGTCATCATCATCATCATCATATCAGCCTATTTGAGTCCACTGCTGAACATAGGCCTCCCCCATATGAGATTGAATGAAACGAATTCGGTATTTACGAAAACAATAGCACAGTGAGTCCATTTGCATCGGCCAACCACTCCAAAACGAAACGTTAAGTTGAAAGAGCATTAAAAACATTTTAATTCCACTTCGCAGAGTCCTCCAGTTTCCTTGGATGAAGGGGGATGACTCTGGAAAAAACTCGAGGAGGGCGAGAGCTTTTTTAATTAGTCACCGCTTTAAAAGTAGATATTTTAAGATGTGAGCCCCGTTCGAACGGGCGAGTGGAATCGCCCAAGATACTAATAATTTCCCTTTGAATATTAAAAATGCTTTTTAATCATATATTTGTTTATTCCATGTGCCATCGAATTGCGGATTTCCAGGAGATTCGGTGTAGGTATTACGTATATACTGTCGTTCGAATAGCGCTTTTGAGAACTCTAAACTTTTTTTTTTCGGAAGGTTTTTACTGTGTCACGCAATAGTCTTTACTGCTGCATAGGAGGAAAAGGACTAAACATCTATTTGGTAACTCAAATGACATTTGAAAAGCCATTTGATTACTTAACTTATACGATCAGTGTTTCAGGAACCAGGCGTGAGACACCTGAGTTTAAGTCTTCTTTAAATGAAATTTTTAATTGCAGTGTTATGTTATGTTACGCTTATGGGCACGTGATAAGTCCAGCGGTGAAAACATCGAGTAAGCCCGCTTATTTTCGAAATCTCCTTTCTCCTGCCCTTATCACACACTAGGTGATTTCGGCACAACATGTCCTTTCCTTACACTCCTCTATCAACCGTTATCTCAATACTGACCCCCTTTCACAGACATATCATCCTTCACACAGTCCATCCAAATCTTCCTCGGTCTTCCGCTAGCTTTACACTCTCCAACCACATTCATATTCATCACTCTAATAGTCACATGACTTTCATCCCTTCTCATGATGTGCCCATACCATGCCAACCACTCCTTATTTTCTCAGTTACCGGTACCATTTTCAAACTTTTAAGCTTCCTTTGAATAACAGAAAATATTTTTTGTTACTATTTGAAGTCCGCCAATTCGTGAGGTCCGTGTCGGCCTATGCTTAGTACCTCTATGCCTCGACGGCCAATGCCCAGCCGTGGGACATATAAAGAAAGGATGTCTAAGATAAGGATGTCTTTGACTAGTGATTTCAATTCAACTGCACTGACATAATCCTTAGGTTCCTTACTAATATTATAAAGGCGAAAGTTTGTATGTATGGATGGATGTTTGTTACTCTTTCACGCAAATAATGCTGAATGGATTTTAATGAAACTTTACAATAGTATAGCTTATACATCAGAATAAGACATAGGCTATAATTTATATACATATTTTTATGTATATCTTTCTTTCTGGCTGAATGCTACGCCTTCACCTTATTCTACGCAGACGTAGTCGCGGGCAGCAGCTAGTCTTAAATAACGCTCGAATGCTTAGCTTCCATATTCAAATATTCCTCGCAGTGTATCCGAACGCTGCGTCCTCCAAACGCGCCTCGGGGCGTTCGAAATTCGAACGGCGCAACGCCTCGCGCGCCGTAAAAAGGGCGGGAAAAATAAGACCTTCTCCCTCGTAAAACAAACTGAATATCGCACTGCCGTCCGTGCAATGAAGTGGCTCGCCGAGAGGCATTTTTAATTAAACTTTTGTTACGAGTCACTTTCGCGTTTTTTTACTTTGCCGGGAGGAGCGTGCATCACATCAAAGCCAATACCTCTCCCAAAAGTCTAATCTATCGTCTTTTACAATTGTCGTGTCATCGACCCCTCAGCCGAAGAGATGCCTCTTGTTAATGAACTTAGAAACTACTGCACGATAGGGAAGTACATTTGAATATTTTACGAGCACTAAAAATTTTACACGGACCAACATATTATTAGTTCCGTTCGGGAATTGAACTAGTGACACGCGACGCGTAAGCTAATAAATGATCGTAAGGCGTAGCAGGTCAACGATTAATGCCGCTTTGCTTGTGACCTGCATAATCGATTTAAGAACGTTCACACTAGACCATAATTACGGCTTCTTTCGCGGGGCTCGAAATAAAATATTAAGTTTTACGAGAAAGACGGTTCCATAGTTGTCGATTTATCTTATAAAATAAATTCGATAACGAATTTCATTCAAATACGTTCAGCGTCGTGGCATGAAGAATAACGCATACCAACTTCCGCACCTTTTTATAACAAAAGTTTGGCAAAGGAGAGAGCGGTACCCGACGATCGAACAATGGAACAACGTAGAATCCAGAGGCGTACTCAATTTTTAAGAATATATCGTCGCTACATTCCTCTCCTCATAATTATCGTAGCGAGTACTTTCTTCTATCAATGCTGTATGCTACAAAAGCGATGTACAGCTAATTTCATCCATACTACTCATATTCGTAACGACAATCCTAAAATACTAGACGGACATTCTAACGCCCTTTATAGTTACCACGCCATTAATGTTTTGAAACTCCCATAGGAGTATAACTTATCAATAACTATGTATAACTTAAAAATATGGTAACAACCTAAAATCATCAGTTAACAAAATTGCCATTAGATTTATTTGCTAATACAAATTTAATAATGGAATGACATCTACACCATAAATCGTCAGTGTTGCGAACCAAAAATTTCACCAGAACTCATTGTTTTTATAGTTAAACATCAAAAGATTTGTAAAGATGATAATCTCGTTCCTTCATTACAAAAAAGCTACCGGTTATACGATCGTGGTACTAAGAAATCTTACATTTTGTATTCAAATTACATACCATTAATTAAATTAAACTTGAACATAAATACAATCCATTTATAATTGCGCTTAGAACAATTACCGGAGTGTTTCACTACAACTGAAAAAAAAGATAACACGTCCAGTTTTCTTAAGGCGAGTAAAAAATAAAATTGCCGCCTTTTTACGTATAAGCATGTTTGTTTATAAGATGTAATTACATTCTTTATTCTTACACACAATTATGCACATACTTATGTCTTTCGAGAAATTGATAGGGGTAATGTATTATGCGAAACGTATTATAACTTTTGACGTGTCTAATGATAGGTGTATAAATATTAATTTCTTCGTATTTGTGGGCTAGGTCGTCCGTCCACCTTACCCAAGATCGCAGGGACGCGTTGGATGCAGGCCGCTAATGACCGGTCGAAGTGGAAGTCAATGGGGGAGGCCTATGTTCAGCAGTGGACGTCCTACGGCTGATATGATGATGATGATGATGATTTGTGGGCTACTTGTTCTAATTTCCGATATTTTTTTAATTTGCCAACTAACTTAATGGAGCAGTAACTAGTACCCTCTTTTGTTGAGTAGAACTTTAATGGATTTTATAAAGTGCCATCTAGCGACCAATAGTAACCTAACTTTGAATAAATTTATAAACTTTATATTTTTGGTACAAAAAAACAGATGGCATTACTTTTATTTTATTTCACAAAGAATTTTATTTTAGCTCATGAAAGGACAATGGCGAAATCTTATGTAGGAAAAAATTAAGCGTTTAAAAAATTGATATTCAGGTTTCTAAATATAATTATTTTCCACGATTTTTCGGCACATTAACTTCAGTTGTTAAACTATGTATAAAAATATGTGTTTATTAACAACTCAATTGACTTTTTTGAGCTCCATTTTGGTTTCATAGTTTGCGAGTAATGACTTATGACCAGGGTTGGATTTTACTGTAATTATAGTATTTATACTATAATTTAATGCTTCGTACTATACAGCGTGTCGTTACCATCGCGACAATAAATGAACACACGTCTAACGCTACTTGCCAATAAGCATAAAAAAATATGAACGTTAAACAAAATCCATAATTAAAAAAAATATTTTTCAAACAAACTAATCAAGTAAAAAAGAAACAAAATTTGTAACATCCTATACTCTCCTTCTAACAGTATGTTTTGTCTCTTTTAAATTCATTCAACCCATTCATATGCTTTGTGACCTTTACAAATGAACTTTACGTTACGCTTTTATAGGTAAGGATGTTCTAAAATTCTTTGTTTTGGAAAATTTAATAACTGTGTAAATATTGATGTTTAAAGAATTTAAATGTTTAATACAACTTTAAAAAGTTACCCCCTATATGTGTGTTCATTTATTGTCGCGATGGTAACGACACGCTGTATACTATCCATATTTAGGGAAATATACTATAATTTTGTTACTTTACATAAAAGATCAATGTAAATGCCAATCCAACATTAAAAGATGTTTATTGGGTTGTAATAGCATTGTAATGTTTTCAAGAATACAAAGTGGATATTACAATATGTCATTGTCAATTATTACCGCGAATTATTTATTTATCAATGAAATGTTTACGGGTAATTCCAGTTAAAATTTTTTTTCTATACTTTGCTTGTTGAAGAGTATCTTTGCACTAATGTGTGCATATTGCACTATGAGGTAGGTAATAGAGTTCATAGATGTCTAATAGTATACTAATTTAGTAAACTAGGATAAAAATAAATATAATCCAAAGACGCCATTTAATTGTGTTGTGAGGCTATCAAAGATGGTAATAAAGTGGAATTTGTGCTGAATTTATTCCTACTCATGTTAAAAAAAATTAAATTCCAAGGTTGAAACTAATGTTGAAGAATTGATAAACTTGGAGGATGAGTAAATTGATTCCTGTAAAAACAAAATAATAAAGTGTACTATAATTTATTTTACAAATAATATGCTTTTAATTTTTTTGTACTATCTTTTTCATCATACCTAAATACAATCCTGCTTTTGACATTGACATGTTAATTTGCACCAATCTGACATTTATTATTCAATATTTACTGCTTTTTGCCTTGTTTAATAAGAATAAGATAAGTAATAATAAGAATAAGAAGTAAGAATAAGATAAATGTGATTTTCCTATTTTTATACAATCCATACTGCATATCGGAGTCAGATTTTGCTTCGCTACGTATTGCCATTTGTGCAAGCCCAAGGACTACGATTGATTGCTTGCACGGCGACCTTAAGCTGTTACGTTGGACTATTGGATGTGCTATAATATTTCGATTAGTTGTTAGTTTGTTTACTATTGTTAAAATAGCGACACGAATCCTGTGTATCAACTGCAACATATGCGTTAGTAAACTATTTTGTTATCCTGCCCTGGTGTACAATACAAGAGCCACAGCCACAGAAAAGCTGTTATAAATGTCAAATGCATTGGTATAAGCCCAATTTGCAAAAGGTTGTCAACTCATCTGCAACCCTCGAGTGTAGCAGATGTCCATGGGCGGCGGTATGCACTTAACATCAGGTGAACCGTTTGCTCGCTTGGCAACCTATATACGTACAAATAATAAGTGGATATGGCACTAGGGCACGGAAACTGAGGCATTCAAATTACGCCAATTTGTGTAAATACATTGCAACTTTATATAGACTGCTATCTCTTTCCGTATCATACGTTCTATATCATCTGTCACATTCGCTTAAATATGTCAAATAATGTAAAGCGTAACAATTTTTAAACGCCGCACAGTATAACCTCAAAATAAAAATATTGAAAATGTAATATCTTTATTGTTACACTTTCTCCAGTTAAAATTCTTAATATAAAGTTGCTTAAGAGAGAGTAATGAACATTTTCAGATATTTTTGACCTCTAAACGCTAAAATTTTATCCCAACTAAAGTCATGTATGGGAACCTGCCATTGTCCTTTGGCGCTTAAATTTTTTTTTTCTAAATTTTTAAATTTTTATATTCACATACCGTTAGTTTGTCGTTTGTTGACTGTTCGTTTATAATATAAGTTTTATTTCACTTAAAAATAATCGTTTAACTGAATAACTAAGTACCTTAATTATTCAGGATACCTTCTAATTTTCACATGCGTAAGAAGTTACTTTTGACAATCCTGGAATGGAAGAATGGAGAATGGCTTTTGAAGATTTTTCCCCGATACCAAAAACCGCTGAGCACATGATATGTCAGCACTTAAATGTCATTGGTGCTGGCATCGTGATTTAAAGTGAGGAGTAAAATTAATTCAATTAACTCTTGCTCAAGTAAATTATAATTGGTTTCGAATGTATTTTATACTTTAATTATCAAGTTTCACAATTTTAATTATTAGGTACTCAAATTTGATATTTTAGTATAAAAAACATAAATTAATCTAAACAAAAAACAATTTTCAACGACAAAGACCTTGAAAACGCGACTAACTTTAGTTTATAGAAACATAATTCGTCAGCACAAGTCAAACACACATATATTTCTCCATTAAAAAAAATTGCTAAGTAAATCATTAACTCAAATCAATCAATAATTTGCGCCAAGAAAAACAACCGAAACGAAATGGCGATAAAACACCGAATAAATGACATTTTATTTAGTCAACCTTTAATCGATACTCTCACTACAATCACAGTGACGCGTTTAAAGGCATGCGTCCAGACACGCAAGCGTAAAGGCCAGTTACATGGTGCCAGTTTCTTGCCTGTTGTATACAATTAAATTGAAGCAATAAATGAGTTGCATGGTCTAAACAATTATAGCGCGCAATTTATTGCATTCAATTATTGCTCTTGTATGTACAAGAAAATGGCATCGTGTAAATGGGCCTTAAGACTATTTTGAAATGTAAATACGATTCTTTGTAAAGGAAACAAGGTTCGGATAATACCTGCTTAAATGCTAACCAAAAGACTAATAGAAGTTAAAATAAATTCTTAAAATAATTATTAACATTTGTGTTTTGGGGAATGTTTGTATGGAATGACAGTGTATGCAAAGCTTTTTTTTATTGTATGGAGTGCACGCGCCTAGTCTCTTGTACCATTGGGTTCGATCCCCACTACTAGAAAAATATTGTGTGACGAACGTAGTATTCTAGTTTCTGGATGTTTATATATCTACAATATGAATTTATTTACAAAACAAAAGTACCTTTACCAGTTATTTAGTACCCATATTACAAGCTTTGCTTAGTTTGGCTCTACATGCGTTTCTGTAAAAATATAACCCGAAATATTTATATATTTATTTAGTTAGTTATTAAAGGTTAGAGGCATGGTAAACCAGTCATATGTTCAGCCTTAACTCGAACAGACTTCTTTCTTCTTCTTCTTCTTTTTCTTTTCAATGATGATGATGTTGACAGTGAATCCTATTTCTTTAATAGTTTGATCACCTTTTTCCGGAATGGGGGCTCCGAGTACCTAAGTATGTAACTACAATAAAAAGCAACATAATTTTCACCAGATGCATAGAAAATAACACGAACAATTAATGGTACTGATTAAGAACAGTTGAAAAATAAATTATTTATCACAATTTTAACTCAAAAAGATTCCAATAAATGAAAGTTTTATAGGCGCAAAATTTATGGTTAGCATGAACGATCCCTTGACTTTTGGACTAAGAGATAACTTTCTCTTGCACAAAAACAGCTATACGCATCAGTGTTTTCTTGACTTCTGAACTGAAAGATAACCTTATCGGGAGGTACGTCCGTCAACTTAATCCCAATTAATTAATATACAAGCGGTGTGCAATACAAGGTTTCAATAAATAAAATTGTATTTGGATTTCCTAATAGTGTACATTAGGATATCCAAATACAATTTTAATTAATTCATCTTTTAATTTAATGATTGAAACCAACTGTATTAAAATATTTTTATTCAGAAATTATTAATTACATGTTAGTTAACATGAATTAAATTAACACGAAAATAATAATAAGTTATATAATCCTAGAGTGGTTTTTAAAATAACATCTTGTTCAATCCATAACGATGGAAATCAGGAAGTTAACGATAGTAAACATAGTTTCTTCACTTATCGTCACAGATAACTTATTCAGAGTTAAAATTGGATGACCTGTAGATACGATAGTAACTAAATAATATTTTTATTTCAAGCCATAGATAGGTATTCAATGAATAGCGTAAAATGAACTAACCAATATGTCAAACCAAAAATTACAAAATTATAATAGTTTGAAATCAAAATAATACTACTATACTACTACTATAAAGAAAACTATTTTAAAGGAAGTATTTTTAAGTATGTATCAAATTTAAAGACGTGAGCATTTTAAAATTGGACTACCTCATTTATTTACTGAAACTTTTATAATGTTTCCAGGGCTATTCCCACGGAAAATCAAAAGAATACAAGAAAGTTCTTAATAAAAGCTAGCAGTCCGCACTGATGGCCTCTGCGAACATAGTTGAAGCACTACTATATTTAGGTAAGCCTTAAATCATACCAAATGCATACTAAAACATATACTGCCATAATAAAAAGTACCCGGAGGACCGTTGTTTTTTTTGGTGAATCGTGTGTTTTGGAAATTACATTTAGATACAAATTACTGAGTAATGAAATATGCGTAATATTTTTCGATCTTACCGACGTAATAATAAGAAAATATGAACTGATGTTTTTCACAAAAGAAAGAACTTAAAAAAAGGGAAAAAAATAACAAAATAACAAATCGACAAAAAATAAAAGATAAAGAAAGCAATGATCTGGAATCGAAAAAAAAGTAAAAAAAAAATGTGTAAATGATCGTGACGCGAACCACGGCCGTCTGTTTTGGGGCCGCCCGATTACCGACCGAGCTATTATGACATTTTCTCTTGCGGCGAAATTTACCGTCATATTCGAATTATATTTTTCATTCCCTGAAAACAGCGATAATAGGACATTTTCTAAAAATGAAACCTAGCTAGATCGATTTTTCGCCCCCGAATCTACGCACATACTAAATTTCATGAAAATCGCTGGAGCCGTTTCCAAGATTCCGATTATATATATATATATACAAGAACTGCTCGTTTAAAGGATTAAAGAATAAGATATTATAAAATAGAAAAAGATGCAATTTCTCAATCTACATATGATCCACATATGCATATGAAACCTTGCCCACGTCTTTTGCCTATGATTTTCGTTGGTGTTTCTTCATAAATATCTTCTAGCGGTTTAAACTGTTAAATAGAGTAAGTGAAAGTTTTCGGGAATGGGTTTACTGGGCTATTAAAAGTACTTAACAGCCTCTATATGTTCCACTGCTGGGTGGAAGTCAGCTCTGTACGGAGGGTATAACAACACTCCACCGCGCAACCCTGCCGATTGGTAGACTACGAATATGTAACTATTACAATCAATATATATATATTTTGATCAAAAACTAATTTGCCTTTAGATTAACTACTAACGCCCGGTTTCTGAAACACTGATCATCGTAGATGTCAACTAATCAGCTGTCAAATGGATTTCAAATTACAATTAAGGTACCAAAAGGATGGTTAAACTCTCTGAATTGACCAGAATGATCTTCTTTATGATCAGAATGATCAATTCAAAGAGTTTAAACATCCTTTTAGCAACTATAATGAAATTTTAAATTAATTTGACAGCTGATTAGTTGACATCTATGATGATCAGTGTTTCAGAAACCGGGCGTAAATATCGAAGTCGTGGTCGGGTGTCTTACAAAGTATATAAAAAAATTAATACCCATTAGGACTTTTATCATGAAAACGTGAGTTGATTTGTGTCAACAATTGTGTTTGTTTCCGAACGCACTTATCATGGAAATGAGTTCGAAAACAAGCACAACATGTTTTTAAATTATGTGCCTTTTCTTTATCGGATTCATGTAGTCACCATAAAAAAAGAAAAATGTGAGATAGTCTATATCAATCTATTTGCACAACTATTTTTTAATAGATATTCACGTTTTATATAAGGATACGGAAGCAAGAAGCGTTTTTACACAAACGAGCATTTTTTACCTACAAAGCGGCGTTATCCCATCTGGAAGAAGAGCTCTGTGCTTGACTACTCCACTAAAATATACGCTTATTTTATTTTACAATTTTCAAAAAACATTTAATTTCTCTTTTAGGTAGCGTCTGTGGTTAAGAAATTAGGATCGTCGTTACTGAACGAAACTATTTTTACGGATCTCGAGTGAACAATCAAATTGGCGTGTGGTATTCATTTAATTTTGAAAAATTATCATGTAGGATAGTCTCCAAACTGGGTGAGGTGAATTTTTGTCCAACTTAGCAGAACTGATTCCATTGAGTTTAATGTGTACTGTAAGGCCATTGAACTTTTATTGGTGATTTATTTCTTATATTTTGGTAGCGTCTTAAAGAAACTTGGCAACGCAACACTCCTCCAACTCTCGTTTTATCAATTTGCCGCTAAACATCATTCCCGCCAGTCAGTCAGTTGTGTTGTGTAGTTCGTTTATATTGCACGTTAGTCTCTCCCGCGCTTAATTATGGCCAAGGTCTGTTATAAACTGGTTCCTATTTTAAATTTCTCTTTTTATTTTTTTAAATTGATAAAATATAAAACGAAGTGAACTTAATTTTTGCCATTTGCAATATTTGTGATTTTTTATATTTTTTACTTATTTCAAATCGAGTCAAAGAAGCCGATGTAGCATAGAATAAATACCTAACTGCTAAGAAAATATTTCTGTTAAGCTGTATCTTGTAATTTCTACGTTTATGAAACTAGTAACAACAATTATATTAGAGATGCGTCGAGATGAGCGAATATTCGTGTTCCGTATATTCGCCATATTTAGCCAAACATATACCGAATATTTTAAAGGATTTATTTTTAAATGTTTTAAACGCATGCTTGAATAGGCTTTACTACAAGAACCGTGTACTAATTGTAAATGAAACGAACACGAACGCATTCCTGTGTAAAGTAGAAGTAAAGTAACAACCAATACATGTCCCACTGCTGGGCAAGAGCCTCTTCAGTACAGAGCATATTAGGGCATAGTCCACCACGTGACCCCACTGCGGTCTGTCGGACTTCACAGATCTTCGAAATATTTTTTTGTTATTTCAAAAACATTTAGGTTTCCTCATGTTTTCCTTCACCGTTAATAAGGTGCTAAGTCAGCATTAATATTAACAATTTCATTGGTGCTGGCACCGGGAATCGAACTTAGGTGGCTCGAGTCTATTGAATTAAAAGCAAGCGCCCATCCACTGAGCTTTCACGGCTCTTATTATTCATATATATCATTCTTGTGTTACTGATTTTATTTGATTCTTTTTATTCGCAAAATAAAATAAAAAAAAAACAAGTTTATTGAGGTTGTTTAAACTTTTATTTCTTTTCGATATAGAACCATGTCCGCTAAATGTCATTCCATAAATTCAACAATTTTAAAATACTTAATATACAAAAAATTTTTCGTTTCGCAAAATTAAAATCAACATAATTTTCATATATATATATTTGAAATCGATAAATTTTATTTAGTGATGAAAAAACAGAATAAAAAAATATTTAAGCACGTGTCCTATGCATGGAACCGATTGCAACACGCACTTGTCCGGCTTTTAAATTAGCCATCATCATGGTCATCTAAAACACCAAGGAGTTTTACGTAGCCTTTGCTACAAGCAGTAAGAACTATTAACAGTCCCAATATAACTAAGCGTCGGGTACCTTCTTGTATTTATTTGCATCAAATCATCGCTACTGCATGACGTCCCGTATGAAACCATTCTTGTTGAAAATATTGAATGTTCGGTCCGGTACTTTTTCAACTGAAAGTTAGGATCAATCGCTTTCGCATCTGTGGAACTAAGACGTTAGAACGTATGAACGGTTTTCGGCACATTTATAATTATCGTGAAATTACTTTTCAAGTCTGTCGAGTTGCTCGTTAGAGATAAATTTCGCAGAAATTATTCGGTACAAGGCAAACGTCTGTTCATTCTCGCTTAGCACCGTCGTATTATCATCGCGTGACATAATTGTTTACAATTCGGTTAGTCTTGGGTTCACTTCGGTCTGCTTGTATTTATTTACGTTCTAGCTCTTAGAAAATTAAAAAAAATCTTATTCTAAAAAAATTCTAATTCTTCTTTTAAAACATATGTTAGCTCTGCGATTTCTCAAAGTTTGCCCCACCATAAAACGAGCGTACTCGTACCTTTTTATATGAGAAGACTGCAAGCGAGGTGGGGGTTCACCTGATGTTAAGTTATAACCACCGCCCATTGGCATTTGCAACAGCCAGCAGTGGCAGATGCGTTGCCACCAGACACACTCACCAGACGAAACGCAATAGTATGCACATCCACTTCACGCCGGCCTTCTGTTAGGTCGTGGTACTTACCCGGACGGACTTGCCCATTCCTGCAACGTCCTTCACGTTGCGTGGCCCTACCACAGTTAGCTTACTTCGGTACTTTACATGCTTCTAGCACCAGGCCTTCTCTGGACGAAACCATTAATTGCAGTTATAGTTACATAAAATCCAGCTTCAGTGAAATAAATTAAGTTAGAACGTAATTTTTAACCGACGACCTGAATGGCGTAGTGGTTAGTGTACCTGCCTCCTGCGCCAGAGGGTGTGGGTTCGATCCCCGCTACTGGAAAAATATTGTGTGATGAACATAGTGTTTTTCTAGTGTCTGGGTGTTTATATATCTATAACATGTATTTATTTACAAAAGAAAAGTATGTTTAAGTATGTTTATCAGTTTTCTAGTACCCATAGTACAAGCGTTGCTTAGTTTGGGACTAGAAAATGTTATGTAAGAATGTGTCCTAAAAAAAAATGTTTTTTCCTATTTTATATTTTTAATGTAGGTAACATTAAAAATATAAAATAGGAAAAATTTTTTTAAAAAACGTTTTAAAAAGTTAAATTACCTAGTTTAAAACATTAATTTTAAGTTATTAACAAAATCTTTAATTGATTTTCGTAATGCTTGGGAAACATTATATATCCTGTTTCTTCTTTATCAAAATTAATTTACTTATATTATTAAAGTTTCATTAGTGTACAAACAAGTTATCAATCAAAAATAATTTACAACAATACAATGTAAAAGATACATTGTATTTATCAATTAATGCATGAAGATAATTATGACGTATCTACCATAAAGAGACCTTTAAGACAAATAAAACCGTTTAAAAACTTTTAAGTTAAACGGTTTTATTTTCTGTTTTTTTTTTTGTATGCACTGAAACCTACAATATTGTATTGTCTTCTAAATTAAATGTGTGTACCAAATTTCAGATCAATCTGACAACGGGAAGGTGCTTAAATTTCAATATCTAATTTTGACCCAAATAAACAAATAAATTCCGTATGTGTCGAGCTAAATAAAACCGTTTAATAATAATTACTTTAAAAAACTTTTAAGTTAAATGGTTTTATTTTACGTTTTTTTTTTTGTTAATATTGTATTGTCATCTAAATTGTATTGTCTTCTAAATTAAATGTGTGTACCAAATTTCAGATCAATCTGACAACGGGAAGGTGCTTAAATTTCAATTTCTAATTTTGACCCAAATAAATAAACAAACAAATTCCGTACGGGTCGAGCTAAATAAAACCGTTTAAAAAACAACCATTCTTTGTTTTTGCAGATACTTAAAAAATATATGAGTATTGTATACATAGATTTCAATTGTTTTACTTAATATTGTTAATTACTTAATAGTGTGAAACAATTCTGTTTCATATTTATTGAGAGCCGTGATAGCTCAGTGTCCGCGCTGAGCCTTTAATTTGCCTTTAATTCGCCTCGCCTTTAATTCTAATTACTCGAGCAACCTGAGTTGGAACCCTGGTGCCAGCACCAATGAAATTGTTAATTTTAAGTGCTGACTTTTCACGTGCTCGGCGGTGAAGGAAAACAAAAAGAGAAACCTGCATATTTTCGATACAACAACAAAAAAAATATTTCGAAAGTATGTGAAGTCCGCCAATCCGCAGTGGGGCCACGTGGTGGACTATGCCCATCAGGGCAAGCCTGTGTACAGAGGAGACCTTTGCCCAACAGTGGGATATGTATAGGCTGTTACTTTACTTTTACTGTTGCAATTCTCCAATAGAAGCTTATTAAAAAAAGTGTGTGCCCTTGTGGGCGACGATACGACAACAAGCATCCAGTTTTTTTTTCTTTCTTAAAAAACATTACCCTTACTTTAGGATAACAGTATCCTAACATAGGATACTGTTATCCTAAAGTAAGGACGTGCAAACATAAATTTCACGTGAACAAACACCTTAATGCGAAACGACTATCTGTGGCTCACAGAAATAGTTGTCCCGTGTGGGAATCGAACCCACGACCCCCGGCCGAAGCCAATACCTTGGCAACTGCGCCACGGAGACTTCAAATTACTTACTTCAGAAGACTCAATCACAGTCTTAATCTTAATGCAGCTGATGAAATTTAATTGCATTCGCTAAATCGCTGCTGTTTATGCGAGACCGTGCTGTCAATGCTGCATTGTTTATCGGAAAATATTTAAAATTCAAATGCAAATGGGAGCTATTTTGAAAAGCAATTTATTCCGTTTACCTACTTACCCAAACACCGTTCGGTCCCGAATTGAATCCCAACGAGAAATTTAGGTCGTTTTTACGTTTACGCGAATACTAAACATTCATGAATGAAATCATTTTGAGGGATACTTATACATTATACATTACTTCTTGATAGAAGAAAAAAGTTTTTTTTTTATACGAAAACTTGTCAAACGAACTGACGGTTCACCTGATGTTAAGTGAATACCGCCGCCACTGGACATCTGCCACACCCGAGGGTTACAGATGCGTTGACAACCTTTTGTAAATTGGGCTCCGGCTACCTCACGCACCAGACGAAACGCGAAAGTATTTTTCATACTTCCACTTTACGCTGGTCTTCTGTGAGGTTGTGGTACTTACTCGGACGGGCCTGCCCATTCGTGCAACAGCCGAGGCTGCTGCGTGGCCCTACCACCGTAAAATATTAATTATTAATATGAATAATCTGCTGATAAACGAGTTTCATATATTAGGTTGGGGAAAAAGTCTTTTCGCAAATAGTATGTATGTACTTATAATATAATCTCTTTGGCTATACCATTTGTATCCGGCTGGTTTTGGTATCATTAAAAAGTTTAAATTTTAAAAAAGATAATTCGAAATTCAAATTAGGGAAATGTGTGATTTTCATTTGTTTTTCTTACTGTTGAGTGATTTTAATGAAGAAATTCGATACATTTTAAAATTTTACTACTAAATAGGTAAAAATGCAACGCAAGCCGCGAAAAAAAAATTCTGATATTTATGGACCTAGTGCAGTGTCTGTGAGAGTAGCACAAATTTGGTTTGACCGTTTTCAATTCGGAAATTTTGATGTCAAAGATTTATGTTGCCGCTATAACAACAAAAATACTAAAAAAAACAGAATAAAGAAATATTTAAGAGAGCCTCCCATACAACAGACATGATTTTTTGCCGTTTTTATAGGTAATGGTACGGAACCTTTCGTGGGCGTGTGGAACTCGCACTGCGCCGGCTTTTTTTATGGTTGACTATAATCTGCCCACATTAGGTTAACCGCGTGTTCGTCTATTCAAAAAAAAAATTGAATGTTTCAGGTTAACATCCCAACATTCAAGCTCAACAATGGGCTAGAAATTCCAGCTCTGGGCTACGGAACATGGCTGGGACTTGACGAAAAGGTAAATTCTTTATTTTCATATATCAAAGGTTTCTATTGTCAGATTTTATTAAAAAACATCATGCTATTCCGTTCGTGGTTCTATATCTATCTCAGTAAATTAATTAATTCTATACTATATCAGTAAATTAATTAATTAATTAAAAGTAAGAGAATCTGTGCCAGATATGTTCGTGTGCTAGGCTTCAACATTGCGAACTAAAAAATAAATGTTCATAAACAAATGACATAAACATAAACTTTATTTTGACAAGCAACAAACAGCACGAACATTCAAGATAAATTAAATGAACATAACAAATTGTAAATTAAAATCAAAACATTGTTGCCATAAAAAAAATTTGCAAACAAAGTTACAAATACGAAAGTTATTAATAAAGAAACAAAAATGAAACAGAAACATTTGAGTATGATGACGTACTCGTAATTGCATTGCAATAAAAAAAATGCATTGTGCTGTGTTTGTGTCAAAAAATGGTCCACTCAGCAAAAAATGCGGAGAGCTCTGCAATGCTGGTTTTCTGTAGAGCCACTTCGATGAAAGAAATCTGCGGGTATATTCCGAAACTTGTAATCCATATGATAATAAAATAAAAAATACTAAAAGGAAATAATAATAATATTGATTAAAAAAATAAAAGGATAATATGCACATAAATATAACTATATTAGTTAAACGGAGGCTAGTAGAAACGCATTAGACATTTTGTGTTAAGTATGTGGGCAATACTCGTATAGAAACTGATAAGCATATTTGAAAAGAAAAAAGATATTGTTTACATTTTAATTTAAAATCACTTACATTTTTTTAAAAACCGAAGAGGTGGTGGTATATTGTTCCAGCATTTAGACCTGGCGTGCAAGACTTCCTCTGAAATGCTCTTTATTCAATTTATCTATAATCAGCCTTTAATTACCACTATTGTTTATCAGACTCTTCAGGCCTTCCTCTCCAAAGCCCAGGTTGTCACATCCATTGTGCTTCATCATTTATCAAAGTGAAGATATATTATTTGCGATTTTTCTTCATAAATGAACCGTAACATTGAATAAACGAAATAGCATCAATAATTAATAATCGTGCATCAATAATTAATCAACTATTGCAATTCCAATGCAAAATGTATGTTCTGGTGTCGTATTCAAAGTTAAAATTAAAAAAAAAAAAAAACTAGATAAACCCTAAATCGGACAATATTGACAATATTATGGTGTTACAGGCCGAGTTGAAAATGCAAGACGCGCCGAAACTAGTGGAGGCCGTTGCGTACGCTATAGATGTCGGCTATCGACATATCGACACGGCACATCTCTACCGCGTCGAGCCCGAGATCGGCCACGTCGTGAAGCAGAAGATCGCAGAAGGCGTTGTCAGAAGGGAGGACATGTTTATAACGACCAAAGTGAGTAGTTCTTTAAATCCGATCATCTTTATTTGCAGAAACATGGTGGATAAAACTTTGCCAAAGATTCTCGTTGGCTTGCAAATATTTCACACATAATATAATTAATACAAACACAATCTAAGTACAAATGCTATTAATAACAGGCAATTGAAACAAAATGAACCAAAATTGTCGAAATTTTAAACAATAACAAATGTTATCAGTCACAAAAATATAATGGACACGTTATATACACGTTACATAGTTATAGCTCGTTTTTATGTAAGAAGATGGCAAGATGGCAAGGAGATGCCGGTGGTTCATCCGATGTTAAGTGATTACCGCTTCCCGTGGACCTGCAACACCGCTAGGGTTGCAGATGCGTCGCCACCCTTCAATAAAATGGGCATCGTCACTCACCAGACGAAACGCAGAACTCTTCCACTTCACGCCGGTCTTCTGTGAGGTCGCGGTACTTCCCCGGACGGACCTACAGACTGTTGCGTGGCCCTACCACACTTAAATTCAGAAGCAAAGTTAAAACTTGTAGACGAAATTAAGCGATCCGCACAAAAGTACCACAAAGTGGATAATTTTGATCCATAATATCTTTTACGAAGTAATAGTATCATCGCTGAGTTAATGATATTGAGTATTGGATTATTAATAATTGATTTTGAGTTTATGATAATTATTACTGCTTTCACGCTACAACGACCAAACTGTTTCGAATGAAATTTATAAGGAAGATGTCATAGACATATCCACCGGTGCAAGTATATAAATTAGATACAATTAGTCTCATAAAAAGTATCCATTTTAAAATAAAATGTTACCCTGCGGAAGGTGCGAGTAAAGTTTAGTTATAACGTATTTTATTTTATGTGAGAAGGTGGCAAACGAGCTGGCGGTTCACCTGATGTTAAGTAATAACCGCCAGCCATGGACATTTGCAACATCCATGGGTTTGCAGATGCGTTGCCAACTTTAATAAAGTGGGCCCCGGCTACCTCACTCAACAAACGAAACGCACAAGTGAAACCTTCCACTTCACTCCGGTTTTCTGTGAGGTCGTGGTACTCACACGGACGGACCTGCCCATTCGTGCAACAGCCGATGCTGTTGCGTGGCCCTACCACAGTTATACTGTCTTATCATTTCGGGCAGGGGTGAGTTCATACAGACAGATACTTCGCATCTGAAATGTTCGAGATCTTTTCGTAGGTGTGGCAACATTACCATCGTGAGGCCGACGTGGAGAAGTCGGTGCGGGCTTCACTGAAACGCCTCGATATGGAGTACGTGGACTTAGTATTGATGCATTGGCCAATGTCGATATCTGTAAGTATTAAAGCAAAGTAACTGCCCACATATGCTTCGCGGCAGTCTATGGGAATGGTCTATGTTCAGCGGCGGAGTCGAATAGACTGTAATTATGATTATTATGATGATTTTTATATTTTACAGGAAAATCTGAGAAAAAAATTAACCCAAAACTTTGAGGGACTTTGGTATAGGAGAGTAAAGTAAAATATCAGCCTATACATGTCCCACTGCTGGGCAAAAGCGTCTTCTGTATTAGGGGTATTAGGGGTCAGTAGAGCACGCGACCCTACTGCGTATTGGCATACTTCACATGTCTTCGAAATATCTTTTTTTTGTTATTATTTCAAAAACTTGCAGGTTTCCCCGCAGTGGGGCGGTGTGTTGGACCATGCCGTAATACCATCTGTATACAGGGGATCTTTTTAGCAGTGGGACATTATAGGCTTTCATCATCATCATTAGAGCATGTTTGAGTCCACTGCTGAGCATAGGCCTCCCCCACATACTGCCACGAACCACGATCCTGGGCCACCTGCATCCATCGGCTTCCCGCAGGTTTGTGCAGGTCTTTAATTAAGGCACGCAGCGGCCTCGGCTGTTGCACGAATGGGCAGGCCCGTCCGGGTAAGTGCCACGACCTCACAGAAGACCGGCGTAAAGTGGAAGTATAATACTTTCGCGTTTCGCCTGCCGAGTGAGGTGGCCGGAGCCCAATTTCCAAAAGGCTGTCAACGCATCTGCAACCCTCGGGTGTAGCAGATGTCTATGGGTGGTATTCACTTAACATCGGGTGAACAGACTGATCGCTTGGCAACTTTCACATAAAAAAAAAAACAAAAAAATTATTTAATTTTTTTTCAATTAACAATAACAACCCTCCGATCTCCGACTGCAGCAAGATGGCGTCGACGAGAAGATCGACTACTTGGAGACCTATCGCGGCCTGGAGGCAGTGCTGGAGAAGGGCCTCGCGAAGGCCATCGGCGTCTCCAACTTCAACCTGGAGCAGATGAAGAGGCTGGTCGCCAACTGCCGCGTGGTGCCGGCTGCCAACCAGATCGAGGTGATCGTAACCTTTCTGCACCGGCAATAGGGTCGAGTTTAGGTTGACACTGGATCAAATTTGTCAATTTCTTTTACTTGGCTAGGCGATCTGACGATCTCACACGACGTTCAATATAATTAGGTACTCACTACATCAACTACTAGGTATATACCTAGTAGTTGAGTTTGTATGTATGTTTGTAATGAACTCTTCGAACGAATTTGGACCCACTACAAAACGACATATTGATTTGAAATTTTGCATACTTAGGTGCCAATGACAGTACAATATTAAAAAAAATAGTTTAAGAAATTAAAAAACACCCTTTAATAGTAAACCGAACAATTAAATAACAATAAACCTTCAACATAAGAATAATATGATTAACGATAAAATATATTACGAATTAAAATATTGCGTTCGCTCTCTTTAGTCTCTTTAGCAAAAATTCTTTTCGCAATGGTTGTATGGAAGAAATCGCTTTCGGTGCGATAAGACTTCTATTGTACTTCCTTTTACATTCATTTTTAATTTGCATTTTTTTTATGTTTAAGTGTGCAATAAATTATGAATAAATAAATACAAGTATTATGATCTGAAAACTAGATAACCCTATACCGTGTGTACATGATGATGTTCCACCACCACAGTCTCTACAGTATGATTTTTTAGACGAAGTACATAGTTTGACATAATGTAACAAAAAAAATATTAATATTTTATTTTGACAAGAAATAACCAGAAAAAATCAATTCAAACATTGTTTGTTTATCCTGTTATGGGCCGCTCTAATGATAAGCGACTTAGTAATTATGCGTTCAGCGAAAAGTTTTAGTGTTCGTGAATAGGTTATTCACTATTTTATTGAGACGGTAAGGCAGGAATTTTAATGTCCATAATGTTTGAGAAAATTAAATATGCTTAATCTTTGGAAAAAAAAAACGAAGTCACAAGTACGTATCAGATTCAGATTTAGAATCAAATTCTGCATATGCTCTGTTATTATGTCCGTCGTCTATAAATCAATCAATCAATCAAATATCTTTATTCAAATAGACGCTTGCGAGTTGGTATGAATCGTCAAATTTTATATAAAAAATTATATATATAGGTTCGTAAGGTACCACCGGCTCGGAAAGCAGCTTCTGTTGAGAAGAGACCGGCAAGAAACTCAACAGTTGCTCTTTTTGAAAAATTTCAGTTTACAATGTAACATACCGGTACAATAGTCTTATTCTAGCCTTAGACGTGAGTATCAACAGTATTAACTCGACACATTGGCGTCGTCGAGACATTCCACACGCGGGTAATATGTAATATGCTTTAACCATAGGTTGACTTTTTGGTACTATAGTCTAACAGTATCAACAGTATCAACTCGACACATTGGCGTCGTCGAGACATTCCACAATGGTAATATGTAATATGCTTTAACCATAGGTTGACTTTTTGGTACTATAGTCTAACAGTATCAACAGTATCAACTCGACACATTGGCGTCGTCGAGACATTCCACAATGGTAATATGTAACATGCTTTAACCATAGGTTGACTTTTTGGTACTATAGTCTAACAGTATCAACAGTATCAACTCGACACATTGGCGTCGTCGAGACATTCCACAATGGTAATATGTAACATGCTTTAACCATAGGTTGACTTTTTGGTACTATAGTCTAACAGTATCAACAGTATCAACTCGACACATTGGCGTCGTCGAGACATTCCACAATGGTAATATGTAATATGCTTTAACCATAGGTTGACTTTTTGGTACTATAGTCTAACAGTATCAACAGTATCAACTCGACACATTGGCGTCGTCGAGACATTCCACAATGGTAATATGTAATATGCTTTAACCATAGGTTGACTTTTTGGTACTATAGTCTAACAGTATCAACAGTATCAACTCGACACATTGGCGTCGTCGAGACATTCCACAATGGTAATATGTAATATGCTTTAACCATAGGTTCACTTTTTGGTACTATAGTCTAACAGTATCAACAGTATCAACTCGACACATTGGCGTCGTCGAGACATTCCACAATGGTAATATGTAATATGCTTTAACCATAGGTTGACTTTTTGGTACTATAGTCTAACAGTATCAACAGTATCAACTCGACACATTGGCGTCGTCGAGACATTCCACAATGGTAATATGTAATATGCTTTAACCATAGGTTGACTTTTTGGTACTATAGTCTAACAGTATCAACAGTATCAACTCGACACATTGGCGTCGTCGAGACATTCCGCAATGGTGTAATATGCTCTAACCATAAGTTGACTTTTGATTTAACGTTTAAATTGACCAAGCATTGATAGAAGCCCGTATACAAGAACTTATAATTGCAGGTGAATCTGAACCTGGGGCAGAGGGAGCTGGTCGACTACTGCCAGTCCGAGGGGGTGATGGTGGTGGCGTTCATGCCGTTCGGCTCGATGGTGGCGGGCCAGGCCGCTCCTGGCAGCCCCGAACCGAAGATCGACAACCCCACGGTGGTGGCGATAGCGAAGAAGCACGGCAAGACGGTCACCCAGGTCGCCTTGAGGAATTTGGTAGGTTGGATTTTTTTTTATTTTAGAAAGTGGCACGAGCTGGTGGTTCACCTGATGTTAAGCGATGACATGGTAGGTTGGATTTTTCTTTTATTTTTTTATGTGAGGAATTGGCAAATGAGCTGGCGGTTCACCTTATGCTAAGCGATGACCGCCGCCCGTTGGCGTATTCAACCGCCCGTGGGGTTGCAGATGCGTTGCGACGTTTCAATAAAGTGGGTCCCGGCTACCTCAATCACCAGACGAAACGCGGAAGTATGACACGTTCAATTCACGCCGGTCTTCTGTGAGGTCGTGATACTTACTCGTACGATCGTACAACATAGTTTTTCAGAACAATCATTCTCGTGCTAATCCCAGTCACTAAACTATTGCTCATTTTATATTTAATTAACATGTGAACAGCGAAAATTCAATTAAATTCATTTAATTTTCATTATAAAAAGACAACAATTTATTCCATGCAGACACCTTTTCTATCCGAATAAATGGATTATTTTTTATTTATAGTCTATTCCCTTGAAACGTCATCGCAATAAAAACATTTTTTTTTATTTCAGTATCAACGCGGCATTGCCAGCATTCCAAAGTCCCTGATGAAGTACCGCATCCTCGAAAACGCGTCCATTTTCGATTTCGAATTGGACGAGGCAGACGTGGCAAAGCTGGCACAATTCGACAACGGATACCGAACCAACGTCCCGTCCTTTTGGCAGGAATACAGCAACTATCCGTTTGAGAAGGTCGCCGACCCCATGAGGGGCATACCTTTGTCTCTGCGCGAGTGGAAAAATGGCGCGAATCAAGACATCGACTGAATTACGTGTTTTATCTGTGAATAATTGTTTACTCTCTGTGGTGTCCGTATATGTTTTTGTTATTTAACAGCAGTGTGTTCCTCATTTTGTTTTATTCATTTCGTGTATGCTATTAAAAATATGTCGTCATTTTTTTTATCTTTGTCACCTCAGAGCTCCGTCTTTTATGGTACCGCGTTTTTGAAAATCTTTTTGAGTTGGTGGTCGCATATTAATATCATTGGTAGTCATTGCACTTTGGACATCGGAACTACATCTGGGAATTACTCAAAACCAAATAGAAAATGCGTATAGCGAGTGAAGGTGACATCTTTTTTTATGCGAGAAGCCGGCAAGAGAGATGGCGGTTCACCTGATGTTAACTGATAACCGCCGCCTATTGACATTTGCAACACCAATAGGGCAGCTGATGCGTTGCTACCTTTAAATAAAGTAGACAACGGCTACCTCAGTCGAAACGCAGAGGTATAACATTTCCACTTCATAGTAGATAGCTATTGTTACAATCCACTGGCAACACTGCTTAATATACAAGCAATAACAATTATACTTAATAGACATTGAACCATAACTGGTATAATATTGTATTATAAACCAAGCTTAATAATAATTTATAATTTAATAGGTCAATCTTATTAACTGTATTAGTAATTTAACAAGTGCATTGATTTGTAATGTAGTTGTGATGACTCATTATATTTTTGTATATAAGCGCATAATGTTTCAGTGATAGGGTAGAACACTCTTATCCTTTGTATAGGACGTTACTCTGTCCTAATAAGTAGGAAGCAGTCTAACTAATATATAAAGTTGTTTACGCTATCCTCACTTTTTTATTTTGGCCGACCAACCTACAGTCTTTAATATCTCAGAAGTGGGATACAACCTTCACGCCGTGTGTAAGCGAATAGCGGTAGTAACTAGTAATCGTTCCCAACGAAAACGTGTTCGCCACACCTCTTTAAAACTCCAATGACGACTTCGGGTCTACCAAGGCAGAAGTATAAGGTATTTTATGATAATGCCGAAACGGTACGCTTGAGTGAGTGAAATACACTTCAAGTGCAAGTGATGTGGATATTGCGGATATTATCTCCGAATTCCGACCTGAAAACAGCAGCATAATTTAAAGGATGCGTATGGATAAGAGGAAGTGATAATGTGGCCAGTGAAACATCAACCCAACATCAACTCCAACCTAAGCTGTGCTACGTGTCGCCGTCAAGGTCGCATGCTGCAACAACGCTGCTATACTGCGTTTTGGACATACGACTGCTACGTGCTGGTTTTCATCTGGAGCATCTAGACCACATGCGCAATAGGTTAGTGATATTTTAAGCATTAGATAAAATGATAAATCACAATTTAAATGCGTGCACAAATGCACACATATTGATATTTACTTAATATTGCTAATATTGTCACATCCAGGTATATAACAAACTTATACATTGCTATATATACATATTATTATTATTTTGTTTAAAATGGTAGACTGTGTGCCCGATTCCATATGTTATTTCATTGTGAAAGGACTGCTGTGTGATAAAGTCCGTAGTAAAGATGGAAATATTGGCTGTGTGATCAAAAACGTGACAGGGCGGCTAAGAGATCAAGTCCATAATGCACAAATTATAGAACTGTGTGATCTTTATTACATGTAATGGGACGGCTGTGTGATACGTAGAAAAAATAATGAAAGTTATTACTAGAAGGGCGGCTGTGTGAACAAGTCCATATTATGCAATAATGAAATTTATGGGCAGCTGTGTGTTCAAGCCTGGATCGAGGGTGTTATAATATCAAAGAACAGATCATATACTATATCATCATCATCATCATCTACAAACATATATAATATAAATAAAAAGCAAGGTATATTCTGTCTCTACACAGTGACTGCCGTGTCATTTATCTTTCAGGATTCCGATGTCAATACTGAAAGCCAGGAAGATCGCCGTGGGACACGGCTGCAGCAGGATGGCCGAGTGTTACAATCCACTGGCAACACTGCTTAATATACAAGCAATAACAATTATACTTAATAGACATTGAACCATAAATGGTATAATATTATATAATAAACCAAGCTTAATAATAATTTATAATTAAATAGGTCAATCTTATTAACTGTATTAGTAATTTAACAAGTGCATTGATTTGTAATGTAGTTGTGATGACTCATTATATTTTTGTATATAAGCGCATAATGTTTCAGTGATAGGGTAGAACACTCTTAAGGCCCATTTACACGGTGCAAGTTTCTTGCCTGTTATATACAATTAAATTGAAGCAATAAATGAGTTGCATTGTCTAAACAACACATAACATTCTTGACTGTTGAACAAGACTTGCTTCAAGTTTTGTTTCAAAACTTTCCTTGGTGTAAACAGCACACACAATAATTTCTTAAGCAATTCTTGTATTCAATTGCATTCTCTTTTCCTTTGTGAAAAATTAAAAAAAAATAGTGCAATGAGTGAGGGTATTTAATCGTGGCTGTTCTTTTGAGGATAGAAATATTAAAAAAAGGTCGTAAAAAAAGTTGGATAAAAATATGAATAATAATATATGGATCATAATAAATAAATCTCAATGAAATATATTTAATCGGCATAATCTAACTTGAACATTTATTATTGAGCCATTTTTTTTAAAAAACAGCCCTTTGTAAAACGTTCAACACTTGCATGAAAAATTTGCCAACGCATTATCCTTTGTATAGGACGTTACTCTGTCCTAATAAGTAGGAAGCAGTCTAATTAATATATAAAGTTGTTTACGCTATCCTCACTTTTTTATTTTGGCCGACCAACCTACAGTCTTTAATACTATCGAAATATTCACGACACAAATAAATAAGGATATCGGCCACTTAGCTCAGGTATAAATCTGGGCACCTTACCCGCAAACGCACGTTCGAACCGCGCGGGTCCGATTATTTTTAAATAATTTATCTACAAAAATTCTTGAGAGCAGAGACTAACAAAATGAATTATCATAAAGTTCAATAGTAAAAGTGAAATCTATAAAATAGTCATGGTATAAATAATATTTGCCAATTTTTGGCATGCTGTAAATTAAGAAACATAGATGTCGCCATGTGTCTATGGTAAAAATGGATTAAAAAAATAGACACATGTCGAGATTTTCGCGACATAGGAAAGAGTCAAATAAAAGGCTTTAAAATCAAGGTTGTATCTCGCAGGGCCAAATAAGTGCTTGACTATCATAATACATATAGTAATGTAACAATAGTTGATAAAACTTTATTTATACGTGCTGTCTTTATAAAAACACCTACAAGTATAGAACGAATGGTATCATTCGTTTTAAATAACTACGCTTTTACTACAATATGTTCGTATAATATTAGAAACTGGTTTATTTTTACAGACTAACGTAATGATAGAATGAAATAATACGCTCTAATCGGGTTAATAACTTCTTTCATCTAAGCGAATGTTGTACATTTTAATAAAACTAAATTTATCTGGATTTTATCGAGGTTTATTATATTATTCGTGATAATGAATTATTCCACATGTTTTTAGATGATTTAATTATTTACTGCTGAAAAGTAATATACGGCGCTAGACGGTGTTCTTTTAATTGCGATTTTCCAGTGGAGATATAATATAAAATGGGTATCACGAAAGCTAACACGTTTTTAAATCGGAAACCGAAACTTCTTTTACGGTTGTCTAAAACATGTAAGTATGTCTACATGTTTTAGTGGGGACACTGAAGCAAAAAATGTTTCAGACAGTCATAGTTATTGAAGTAAAACGTCTTTAGGCGCGACTAGGAGTAACTGAATGCATTTGACGACGACAATGAAACGAAAACGCGTTTCGGCGTGGACGAATTTATATAGCATCAGATTTTTAATTTTTGTATTTAAAATGAATAATAAATATATTTAGGAATACAAAACAATTTGATTTTTGTATTTACTTTTTTTTTATGCGAAAAGTTGCCAAATGAGCAGACGGGTCACCTGATGTTAAGTGAATACCGCCGCTCATGGACATCTGCTATACCCGAGGGTTACAGATGCGATGACAACCTTTTGAAAATTGGGCTCCAGCTACCTCACTCACCAGACGAAACGCGAAAGTATTTGTCATACACATACTTTACGCTGGTCTTCTGTGAGGTCGTGGTACTTACCCGGACGGGCCTGCCCATTCGTGCAATAGCCTAGGCTGCTGCGTCGCCCTACCACCTATAAAAGTAGTTCTAACTAGTCTGTAATTTTTAAGATAAACTGTCGAAAAATTTCCTAAATATCAAAGGTAGTTTGGTATTTTCGTACCAAACTAGCTTATGAATAAAATGTAAAAAAGCAAGTTATTTATGACTGTGAAGAAACAAGACACGCAAAATGACATTTCATCACTCGCAGCTCAGTGCATTTGAACCCATGCCTCATGGAGACTCTATCTACTAGTAATTATTATTAAGAAGATAAGTCTACCGTATAACATTAAATTTATATGACAGCTTTTAGTATAGTTTCAGTTTCTAATATAAATATTTAAATATCATTGCCATCAGAAAATAGCCCGCTAGCCTCTATGTAAACGTTGATCTGTTTTAAGACTAACAAAAAATAACCTTCGGATTACATAAACTTGATTTGTGCAGTGCCCAGCCAGTTAGTAAGTATGCTACGTGTTCTAAAGCTCTATTATAGAATTCATTTGGAATTTACTAGATATTGCAATGTTTCATTATGTCCAATTAACATGGCAAAAAACCTTGTCATATAACTTGATATATCAACCGTGGCAGTGGCATTGATATCAATATCTTTGTGACAAATATTACTTTTACACGTTTGGTTGATATGTGACCATCTGCATGCACCATAACGTAAATGTACACATTTGATTACGAAATAAAGGTAAATTTCGTAATAATATGGCAACATAATAATTTCTTGTATTTACGCGATTACACATTATAAATGAAACTAATTTTACGGATTTATCGCGTTTATTTTTAATTTTAAGTTCCCGACGTTTCGCGATAAATCCGTAAAATTAGTTTCATTTATAATATGGCAACACTCAATCCTGGATATAATTCGACCAAGTCATCAGTGCACATAGTAGGTACGCGCTCGTTGAAGGAATGAAACTATTAAACAAAAAACAACCTCAATCCAATGCAGAATTTTGTTTGCGAAAACACTGCAATTTTAAAGATACGTTGGCAGTTATACAAGGTTGCTACAGTGTTTTACAAGAGACTGTGGCCGAGTAGTCACAATCACATTATGTTTTCAACTATTTAGTTTAGTTTCAACTTTTAAGCCGAGCAGTAGTACAGTGCAGTATTCGTTATTAAAATAATTTGTATAGTAAATGTCTGAATATATCACTTAAATTCGTCAATAATATTTTAATCCGTGAGAATGATTCTTTTGAATATAGTATTGTTTTGTTTGGCGAGTGAAACGGTAAGAAATGGTCAACATTGTATTGAATAAAAATTACTTAATAAATATTCATTTATTTTTCAATTCGTTCGTAACATTGTATTCAATAAATTTGTATTCTATATTTTATTTCTTTCGCGGAACATTTAATACGAATGGTCGGACAAATACAACGCATCAAAGATTAAATTCAGAACATTTTATTTTTTAGAATATGAGTAAATTTTTTTGAAAATCATTCGGTTAATGTGTATTTAAATGGTAATCATTTCAATAACCGGCATTCTTAAATTGGTAATCGCGCATAATTATTAATAATATAAATTATTTAAGTACATATAACAACGTTGTTATCATGTTTATGTTAATAAAAAAAAATATTAATATAAATATGATAACAACGTTGTTAATTTTAAAAATAGATCCGAGAGCAATTGGTAAAATTGTAAGTTATTGTTGCCAGTGTGGGTCGTTAGTTTGAAAAAATATTATGCCTTAGCTTTCGGAATAATTGTAAACCATCGTGGGGGGCAACCTCTCGCTGTTGATATTGTTGGATGCTGTTCTCGCGTACTTCACCGACGTTATCACCCGAGATTGCTTTAGATTGCCACTCTGCGTATCCGCCATTGGAGACCAGGGTGCAAGATGTTGAACTACGTGTGCAATCTTCTAAACACGGCGCTACCGAGAGTTGCTGTGCTAATTGCACCGGCACAGTACATCAAAGCCGTGCCAGATTTCCGAGCACCCTGAAGAGCAGGCCTGAGAAGCCCATAGTGCGGTAGATTGCATCACGTTGCCGTGAACCCAGCCGAGTCGACAGACACAGATGCCACGTGGATTTTTAGTTGCAACCTGTCCAACAGGGTCTCCCACAGATCTTTGCCGCTTCCCCGATTATTATATAATAATAAAGGTTATAATTTGAAATTGCAGAAACTTCAATTTTATTATTGGTTTAGATTCGGCACGTATCATGCAAAAATTAAAGTAAACGTACACCGATACAAACGTATCGCCGATTGTGTTATACGATTGTACAAGTAAATCACGTTGAGTGATACTATATTTCGATTTCGAACGCAATCGATCGAAATTCCTGCACAGATAATATATTCTATAACGATTCCAGCTGTGTGACACCGCTGATGGCGGGAAAGCGCCGCGGATCGCCCTAAACGATGGCAACACTATGCCCGTCCTCGGGTTGGGCACGTTCCTAGGTTTCGATGAGGTAGATTTTTGTTTGTTTCTTTTATTTACGGTGGAGCAATGAGTCATCTATTTCAAGGTCACTTTGTACGTCACCGTTAATAAGGTAAACATGTATATTGATGAGGAAAATAGTTTTCGCTGTTTCACGAATGGGCAAGTCCGTCCGGGTAAGTACAACGACCTCACAGAAGACCGGCTTGAAATGGAAGTTTCACACTTCGTCTGATGAATGAGGTAGCGGGAGTCCACTTTATTGAAAAGTGACAATAGGTCGGCGGTTATCACGTAGCATCCGGTGAACCCGCCTGCTCGTTTGCCACCTTTTCACATGTAAATAATGTATATTTCTTGGTAGAGATTCATGTCATATACGAGCCGCGAAAGCTCAGTGTCCGGGCGGGCTTTAATTCAATATACTCGAGCAACCTGAGTTCGATCCCCGGTGCCGGCACCAATGGAATTGTTGATTTTAAGTGCCAAATTATCACGTGCTCAGCGGTGAAGGAAAACATCGCGAGGAAACCTGCATAATTTCGAAATAAGAACAAAAAGAAATATTTAGAAGATATGTGAAGTCCAATCCCTAGTGGGGTCGCCCGATGGACTATGCCCTCTGTACAGATTAGGCCTTTGCCCAGCAGTGGGACATCTTTACATATAAATACTAAATAAATATATCTTTTTATTACTTTGTTATTACGTCCATTCAAAGGTTAGCTGGAAGTTATGGCTCTAAAGTAAATAATAAAACTGACCATTGTATTTGTGTACATATTTTAATTTTAAATATTTCTGTATGGATTCTGTATTTCTTTTCATGGTGCGTGCATTAATGATTGTTAATATTCATTTACTCATTGGTCAAAGTTGAGAAATGAAACAGGCACTAATCTAGAGGCTTGGAAAGTCGGGTTTGCAAAATTTTCGACAGTGTATTTTTTTATTGAGCACATTTTTTAAATTATAATAAACAAATATAAAAAAAATATAATTTAGCATATTGTACGAAAATTGAAAAGAGGAAAAATTAAGTGCGAACAGATAACACATATTTGAAATTATTGTTAATGCTTGAGGAAAAATAAATATAATAATAGTTTTATGAATAAAAAACACTACATTTCTTTAAAAAAATAGAAAAATTAGATACGTTAACGTTGTATCGTTTTATCTCTGCATTTTCAGAAAGGGCAGAAAGAAGTTAAAGAGAACGAAGTGGAGCTTCCAGTGTTGTGGGCCCTCAACTCAGGATACAGGTGAGTAAAACCTAAATATTTATTAAAACATGTAGAAAAAGTACGAAAAGATTGTCGCCGCTGTGGGAATCGAACCCACGTCTTCGGCATTCGCGGCCTGACGCTCTAGCCACTGACCTAAACGGCTGAGCATGTTTTAATGTTCAATCTTAAGTGCAGAGATTAGCACTATAAAAAAAAACTTTAAAACCTAAATATTTAGTTAAATTCTTTCGTTTGTTTAACTTTTCTTTTATCCCTTAGGAATTCTTCTTTTAGCGGCCAGTGTTGCGTGTGTTCCTTTTTCACTGGACAGTCTTGCTTCGTTTCTTTTACAGTTATCGCATCTAAATTCTTTTTTTAAGCGGCCAGTGTTGCAATTCGAAAAATGTGTTAATTCGATCATAAGTTGTGACAAGAATCGTTTTCCTTGGATTATTTTCAGTCAAGTTTATATCCGAGACTCGTGTCTTCTGGAAGTAAATATCTGATTTTAACTCTATTTATAAACTATAATAATAACCTTTGATATTTCTGTAGAACAACGCAAAATGATATGCGTAAAGCTCATTCTCGTACAGTCAATATTAACATGGCGTATGCAATTATGAATTGATATTATCAAACTACTGGTTTTTTTTTTAATTTTAATTATGCCGTCACCAAACCACAACTGACCGGAAGAGCCGTATATTTCAGACTCTGTAAAAATAATTATTTACAACTAAACTCATTCTGGTTTTTGTAAGCTATAACAATTCCGTACAAACAATTTGGTAATAATTTAGAATGAAAGAGAGAAAGAAATTCATTTAACATAATCGAAAATAGAAAATAAATGACATCCAGGAAAAAAAAAGAAGTACTTATATTAAAATTATAAATAATAGGCTATCATTATTACATACATTTCGACAGGTGTGATGTTAAATGGTTGTTCATTCGGCTCCTGCTGCGGTGTTAACCACAGCACCGGTTTTCAGTCAACCCTATTAGACTACGAGTCGGAGAAAAAACATATACATAAAAAAACTGTACGAGTAGAGTAACGATTTAATTTAGAATGGAAATCATTTTCTTTTAAAATAGTCTGCAAATATTTTAAATCGATACGAAAACCTTGCTCTAATAATATTAATATATTGATTGAGTATTTTTTTTAAAACGTGGCTCGCGACGTGTACCGCACCAAAAATGATACGATTGACTCACTTTAATGTTGGAGAATACCAGATACCTTAAGAACATCATCATCATATCATTTCAGCCTGTTTTAGTCCACTGCTGAAAATATACCAACCATAGACCGCCACAAAGCCCGATCTTGGGCCACCTGCATCAATCGAGAGAACACAAATCACAATAAACGTACTGCCTCGTATTTTGTTAACTTTAACTTATCGTCAATCTTGTACTTGAGCTGCTGTGGTTAACATATTCGCGGTGCTCCTATATCTTAATTTTTCATATTTCTTCATTTTCTTGAAAATAATATATTCCTTATTTATATTCGTATTATATAATTATATGTATACTTTATAATAATGCTGTCGGGTGCTTTTACTTTTTTATCATAACATCGGTTACGTCTCTGTGTTTAAAAATATTTTTCTTTGAAAAACGAATGTGTCGCTGTTCTCGAGTTTTCTATAATCTTTCACACAGTGATGCTTACAAGTGTAAGTGTAAATGTAAAATTTCAGTCAAGCGGTCTTAAAATGAACTGGGCGATAATTTTAAAAATTTGAGATTGTATTAATGCCTCTTTAGTCTAATCTAGCTTTGTTGAGATTTATTTATTTGTAAAACAAAAATGCATAAACAATATCGATTAAACGGGGATTTTATAACGAAATTTGATTTCATAAAAAATTAACAATACAATAAAAAAGAATTGCAATGTCAAGAAACGTTACCCTAAAATGGCCAATAGTTCTACAGCCGTCTTTTCGAGGCCGTTCACTTTTAGCGTTTGTGTCTAAGGTCTCGGCCCGCGTGCCATTGATATATCCAAGCGATATATTTGTGAATGATATATTTAATACATTTTTGTTTGGCTTGTGGCTCTCTAGCTAGCTGTGATGGCGCTATTATCTGATAGGACGACTACAATATGTTATATACATTATGTGGTACATTTAATTTTATCAAATTTTTTCATACGTTATATATTTATTCATTTGCTTTTAACATGGTTTTATAATAATTTTTATATAGCATGCAAAATATTAACGGTATCAACCAAGTCCGTAGAGTTATGTAATATGTTAAATTTGTTTTTTTTTTTTGTTTTTCAAACATTGCCCTTACTTTAAGAAGAACATTATCCTGTGTTGTAACAAATCTGAAAAAATTTCTGATCTGAAAAAATTATGTGCGGGTCAGGTAAATAGTTTTCTCGTGTGGGAATCGAACCCACGACCAGTACCGAACTGCGCCGCGGAGTCATCTGAAATGTTCTTAGAATCTAACGGAGTAAATGTAGTCTCTAATCTAATGTTATCGAACTATTTCCTTCCTTATACGTATCATGGTCGTGTGTAACCCAATAAAAATATTTATATATAAATAAAAATGATTTTTTTTATAGCATTCACTATATTTATTCCAGATTAATTGACACGGCGTCTGCTTACCACAACGAAGAGCAGGTTGGGAGGGGAGTACAAAAGTCGAAAGTGCCCCGGGAACATGTTTTTATCGTCACAAAGGTACGTTGAAGTCAAGATTGATGTAAGTAAATGTAAATGTAAATTTAATTATGTAAATGTATGGGATGTTTGATACGTCCGCCTTATTTCGCGATTGGTCTGGCAATGATACGAGCGCAGTTGGTACGCTATAAGCTTCAACGCGTCCGTTGCGTAGCTTTAGAGATCTAAGCATACGTAGGGACAGACAGACAGCGGGGCGACTTTGTTTTATACTGTATAGTGAAGATAATAAGCATTTATGCGCTTCCTTTGTTTCAGCTTGGTTTAAACGAGCAGCGGCACGTCGTCGAGTTCTTGCAGGCGTCCCTTTCACGGCTGAACACGTCCTACGTGGATCTCTATCTCATCCACAACCCCGTGGCGTTGAAGGTAACTCGAAAATGTTTTTTTTTTTTTTTGATTTTTTAAAACATTGCCTTACTTAATTTAGGATAACAGTATCCCGTGTTGTAAGGTAATTTTACAAACATAAATTTCACGCGGACAAACACCCAGATGCGAAACAATTATCTGTGGGTCGCACAAATAGTTCCCGTGTGGGAATCGAACCCACGACCCCCGACGCCGAAGCCAATACCTTGGCAACTGCGCCACGGAGTCATCAGAAAAATACACGTAAAACGTTAAAATACACGACAACGCCTTCCATAGGAAGGTTACGTTGATTGTGATACGATTTTTATAACGCTTATAAGTTCACAAGGCTATTAAATATAACTATCTGCGTTCTATCGACAATTTAATGCCCTTATTTGTTCACGAAAATATAATATGATATTATACATAATGAACATACATACACATGTTCTTTATTCTTTATTATACATAAAATAACGTAAAGGTTAAAAAAAAATACAAAGGCGAACTTAACCCTAATTATATAATAATTTATTATATAATAATAAATTATAATATAATACAAATAAATTATAATAGGTAAGTGGGTAGGTGTGTACAACTAAATATGCTTATGCCTTAAACTATATCTATATAAAAATTATTTTATAGTTTATTATAAGTAAATAATACTACAAAATATATCAAAATAAACGTACATATGTAGTAGAAAACATACTAACATATAAATAATATTAAGAATTTTAATAAATACATAGATACTGATGATTTTTATGCCGTTATTGGGATAAGAAATGTTTTTTCACTCTTTTACGGAATATTTCAAAAGATGAACTGGTACGTATGCAAAGGTATAGAAATTTCCATGGCTCAACCGCCTTCACAGTGAATGATTCGCTATACCGACATGTATGTTATGAGTCGAACATCCATATGTTTTCAGTTTTTAGTATTATAACAAGTGGACTATAATTTAAAAAACTTAAAAACCCGACTCCGTCCCTGTGTATTTTTTTATTTTGATATACGCGGCGTCTCTCTCACAGTAAATACGACTCTAACAACACCTCTCAAGCTAAAATCCATCAAGCCATTCAGGCTGCAGAGCGTGCCAAACACATGCATAAATACATACATACATGCATACATACATACATACATACATGCATACATACATACATACATACATACATACATACATACATGCATACATACATACATACATACATACATGCATACATACATACATACATACATACATGCATAAATACATGCATACATACATACTCTCGAAAAACATAACCCTCCTTCTGCGCAGTCGGGTAACAATAATTTACATCCGCACAACCGAAAGCGTCTTGAAAGCTTCAATACCTTGTGGGCTGCCGACAGCCTGACGACAGCGGCTACGACGTGGTGGACTACCTGGACACGTGGAAGAGTATGGAGGAGGCCAAGAGGCTCGGACTGGCGAAGTCCATTGGCATCTCGAACTTCAACGCCAGCCAGATCGAGCGGCTCCTGGCCAACTGCGACGTGAAGCCGTCAGTTTTGCAAGTGGAAGTGAGCGGTCACAATACCCACTAGTCGTTACATTATCCATTTAATACAGTGTTTCTAAACTTTTTTGGCGTAGCGCCCACTTAGCAAAAATTAAATACCAAACGCCCCCCAGAAACGCATTTCTTTTTTTTAGAGAAATATGTAGGGAAATAAACAATAAAAATTACCGACAAAACTTACTATTATTCTGATTTTAAACAATATGCAATTGAAACTTTTAATCTAATGTTACAGTTGTGCTGCAACAACATCTTTCAAACGACTGAAATGTATGGACAGTATGGCCACAAGTTACTCTATAATTTCCAACGTCAACCGATTTTTATTTAACAACCCTAAAATTAAAAGATTCTTGGTTAAGAAACCACTCTCATTGCTTAATCACGTCTTCAACTTTACCTTATTTGACGTTACTTTACCTCAGTTGAATCATCCCTACTCGTTTACTATTTCAGGTAAATTTAAATCTTGCCCAGAACAAACTGCTAGAACTCGCAAAGAGGGAGGGTATAGCAGTGATGGCATACTCCCCCTTCGGATCGCTGTTCAGCAGAAGCGGTGCACCGCCCCCGCCCAGGAGAGACCATCCGACCCTGGTCAAGATTGCCACCAAATACGGGAAGACCACGCCCCAAATCGTCTTACGTTATCTGGTAATCTACAGATAAATAAAATTGGAGTGTCTGTTTGTAATATTAAAGTAACTATTTTTTACTAAATGTATGCACGGTATATATACCAAAATAATTATTTTTACAATTTTTGCCTGTCTGTCTGTCTGTTTGTTCCTGCTAATCTCTGAAACGCCTAGATCGATTTGGACGAGACTTTCACTGGTAGATAGCTGATGTAATAAGGAGTAACTTAAGCTACTTTTATTTTAGATTTTTTTTTATTTTAAATTCCACGCCGGTGAAGCCGCGGGCACAGCTAGTGTATTATATAAATTTACGATTTAATACGAGAGAGCCGTGTTCAGGGCTGTCATATATTAATACTAGCTGACCCAGCAAACGTTGTTTTGCCATATAAATTATTTGTAGGGAAGAAAAAAATGTTGGCGGTGGACCACTCTTAACATTTAGGGGGACGAAAAATAGATGTTGTCCGATTTTCCACCCTGGCAGATATGCATACGAAAATCGGTCAAGCCGTTTCGGAGGAGTTCAATTACAAACACCACGAGAATTTTATATATTAGATTGTATACTCTAAGGCTGTTGCATCCCACCGCTCTATAAAGGAGCTGTGTCAGCATATTGGTAGTCGATAAGCGCATCAGATGGAAGCTAGTGCGAGTACAGTTAGTCCGTCTCAATCCGGTCTCCATACCGTTAATACAATTTTCTAATTCCATTTCGTAATAAAACCAGAGTTAATAATAAAGTTCTTTTTTTAAAAAGGCTTTTGTAATATCCCTTATAACATTTGAACGTAACGTCACAACTCCATCATACCAACGAGTAGACATTCGTACCAAATCACACAGATTTGGTACAAATGTCTATGTTTATATTTACAGGTACAGCGAGGCGTCATACCCATACCAAAGACAACGCACAAAGAGCGCGTTGAAGAGAACATAGATGTATTCGACTTCGAGTTGACAGCCGACGAGATGAAGGAATTAGGTGAGATAATTATTAAGGAGTTATATTATTCTAATCGCATATTACAAAATCGCCATTAAACACAAAACGGTCTGGTTAGTACGTTTAGTTAAACAAACCATTTGTTTATATTTTTGTGATGTCACAAAATGGTCTTCCGACAACAGCAAACTGACGCTAAAATCAACTTTTCCAACTCTATCCTCTGCTTCTTCTTCCGGAAATAAAGAAGTTTAAGAGTAGGGTAGAAACAAGTATGTAAAGTAAGTATAGAGTGGAGTAGATTCTGAGTTACAGATAATTTATGAATATAATTCACGAAACTTCAAACACTACAGTATCCATGGTCTCGGGACGGACAGTTTTACGTCAAAATGTTGACACTTGTGAATATTAAAAAAAAACAAAACATTATTCATTATCCAATGACTAAAAATAATAACTGGAAAGAGTGATCGTTTTTTTTTGTTGCTATATAATATTTGTTTACGTTGAGTATTATGAACGGGGAAATATTATTATTGCCATAAAACCAAAACATAAGAAACATAAAAATAAAAACGAAACAATAACGAAAAACAAATTTAAAGAATCATATATAAAGATACGAGCCGTGATAGCCCAGTGTCCGGGCGCTCGCCTTTAATTCAATATACTCGAGCAACCTAAGTTCGATCCCCGGTGCCGGCACCAATGAAGTTTTTAACTTTAAGTGCTGACTTATCACGTGCTCCGCGGTGAAGGAAAACATCGTGGGGAAACCTGCATATTTTCGAAATAATAAAAAATATATATATTTCGAAGATATGTGAAGTCCGCCAATCCGCAGTGGGGCCGCGTGGTGGACTATGCCCTGATACCCTCTGTATAGAGGAGGCCTTTGCCCAGCATTGGGTCGTGTATAGGCTGTTACTTTTATATACGGATACTTTAAATTTACATGTGTGGTACAAAAATATACTTAGATATTTAGATAACACTGGATTAACTACATAGCAAGAGCGACTGCTACGGGCCCCGCGCAAAAGGGGCCCTATATTTGAAGCATTTAAACCCACTCATCTCTGTCTGAGCATAATTTATTGAGTGAAACTTATTAAGTAAGAGTATTGAATTGTTTTTTATCACTTCATACTTAAGAACCCATTGCAGATCAAGGGCTGTTTGAAAGAATTTGCTACGGGCCCCGCGCTACGTGCATACGTGTTATCTAAATATCCAAGTATATTCATGTATTAAGAAAAAGACTCTACCAAGTCGACTTAAAGGAGACGTCAAATCTAAGAGGAAACTGAATGTTTTAGCGGAGTTCAACAAGAACTACAGGGTTGTTTGGCCCAGTTTTTGGCAGGACCATCCGTATTATCCATTTGAGAAGAAGGACAAGCCCGATCCAGACCTATTCAAGAATGGCCTTAATGAATAAACTGATTATACAATAAGTTATAATCATCGTACCTCAATTTACTTGATGAATAGCTATATGTATCTTAAAGAACCGACCTTAGTATTTGTACAATTGTCAAATATTCATTAAAGAAGTTATTCTTGAATTAAAAATATATTACTTTAAATTATTACTTTTTATTCTGCTGTATTTCGCAGTTATTTTTCACCTTCGCAAACATTGCCTCTTAGTATAGGATTACATAAGAAACATAAACATTTGTTTATATTTTTATGATGTCACTGTGTTGTAACAACGTTTTTACATTCATAAATTTCACGCGGAGGAACACCCAGACCTTTCTAGTGTGAGAGAATCGAACCCACGACCCCCGACACCGAAGCCAACACCTTTGCAACTGCCTTCAAGTATTCTCTCAGTAAAATTAACAACCTATACATGTCCCACTGCTGGGCAAAGGCCTCCTCTATCATATACATACAGAGGGTATCAAGGCATAGTCCAACACGCGGCCCCACTGCGGATTGGCGGACTTTTTGGCGGCATATATCTTCGAAATAATTATTTTTGTTATTATTCCGAAAATATGCAGGTTTACTCACGATATTTCCCTTCAACAATTCCGTTGGTGCCGGCACCGAGGATCGAACTCGAGTTGCTGAGTACTCGTATATTGAATTAAAGGCAAGCGCCCGGACATCGAGCTATCGCGGCTCATCAAAAAAAAGTTCCCTCTCAATAATCTTGTTTTTTTTGTAGTTTTCTTTCTGTTTAGTAATCTAATTTTATTTCAATTTAACAAAAATAATATCATTAATTTGTAATAAAAATATTTTCGTGCTTGAAATATAAGAAAAAATTAAATTGTAAAAATTAAAATCAAAAGCCTCTTATCACGCTTTAAATGCATTTTATTTAAATAAATTAGGGCAATCGATGATTAAAAAACCGTACTTTTGCATTTTTTAATATATTTTAAATTAGACAGATAATAAATAGTGTTACGAGATACAATACATTCTCTATGGTAGCCGCTGACTGAGCATATGTGAAAAACCACAGTAAAATCGACTTTACATCGACAATTCCGCGAAATCTTCGTAATCAGTCTACCATTTTGTTACCATTAATACTGTATATCATATTATTATCTAACTATATACTTATTAAATATTATTGGTCGAAATTTTAATCACACCAACAAAGTTCTACTTAGAGATTGCTCCTAATTTAAAAATGTCATAGTTATCGCTAAGATCAAAATTTGTTAATGAATTATGACGTGTTCATGTTAGCTACGATCTTTAACAGACATAATATATAGTTGTAGCAATATATTTTTTTACTATACAATTAATAACCGATTTTTTTAGTTTACGACTTCTATTATCATTACAATACAGTATTGAAGTTTTAATCAGTAAACAGACGATAACTTTTAATGTTTATACAATAAATAATGTGATCAATTACATTAAGCCTATCGACAGTGACAATTTTTGAAAAGGTACAAATATGCAAATAAATATTAAGGTAAAACTATGGCTGATTAGAATTGTTTAAAATTAAACATTTTGTCCGGTGTCGAGTGTGTACATTGTTTTGGTATTAGAACTGTTCCAATAAATTTTTTAAGAGAAGGTCACATCGTCTTACATAGCTCAAACAAAAAGAAAAACGTACTGAAGCTGCAAATGAAACGGTTTATCCGGTGGCGTAAGGACCAGAAAATTTGAACTATAGTTGGGTATCGTCGGGCGGTTTCGGTTATCCAAATCTGAGTAGGGGTCTACTTGACGGCGATGAATTCGCCCTTCAACTCGTCCACCTGCTCCACCATGCAGGTGACGTTTGCCTCGTAGTCGCACTGCTGGGTTCGCTCGTTGAAGTACAGGCCGTCCGTGCAGTAAGCCACTTGGGGTACGCCGTTCATGCAACGCCAGTAGCGCTGGCAGTCACCTCTGGAGAAGAAAAAAAAAGTGGCTTAATATGGCAGTCACCTCTGGAAAACAAGGTGGCTTATTAAGAAGGCTCGCAGAAACCTGACAATCACTGATGATGCTCCTGCACAGTTCAACGGGCCGAAATCGAAATGAAGATCCGATTGAGCATGAACAAACATTGAGAGATGATATGATTTTGGAAGACGATAGGATAAATAAAATGATAATTAGTCTCTAAATTAAATAAAGATAATTTTGCACTGGAGAATTCAACTATAATTTGTTCACATTTTGTCTCTACGAGTGAAAATTGATTTGACCTTTCTGCTTCGAAAATTATTAAATAATAAAACAGTGCACTTACTTATAAGCGATCTGTCGTGAAGCTGAGTCAGCACGGAAGCAGCTTAGGATGATATTGTGTCCGGTTGCCGTCGGCGTCTCCAGGGACATGGGTCTGACGGCGTTTAACACGTCATCAGCCGTCAGACTGACAACGGAGCCTGTGTAAGCAGAAATTGCATCTGTCTTTATTTCTAATATTAACATATAATCATCATCATTTGAGACTGGAAGAGTCCACTGCTGAACATAGTCCTCCCCCACAGACTGACACGATACACGATCCTGAGCCATCCGCAACCATCGACATTCCCTACATTTGCATTGATCTTCACTCCATCTAGTGGGGGTCATCACACAAATATTATAAATGGTCAAATATTTAAATTAAGGCTTCTCTTGACCAAAATGATTATCTTATGATCATTATGATCAATTCAGAGAGTTTAATCATCCTTTTGGCAACTAAAATTAAATTTGAAAAGCCATTTGACAGCTGATTAGTTGACATCGGCGATGATCAGTGTTTCAGAAACCGGGCGTTAATTGCGCAGTTGGTAGGCGACAGTGCCCATGGGCTCTACTCCCAGAAGGGCTTGCATTTGTGACCCACAGTTAATTGTTTCTGATCTGGGTGTTTGTTTGCATGGAGGGTTGACGTCAGGCGGGCAGCTGGTTGTGGTTACTGGACGATCGCCGGTAAGGCGGCATGTCTGTTGGCCGGCAGAAAGCCAGAGTTAGGAGCCAAAATAGCTCGCGTCATTTCACTCCTGATGCGAGGAGGCAAAAACCCTACGCCAGGAACTTAACAAGATTGTCAAAGTAAAGGAGTCTTTAGTAATCTAGTTTTATGAACTTAATAAGATAACTGTAAAGTCATGAAATGTAATTTAGGTAGATTTAATGTTTTAAGTATTGAATAAAAAAGCAGATAAGTATTATAGAAAAAAAAAGAATGAACGAATCATGAACTCTTGATGCGAGCTTTAATATGGAGAATCAAAGTGAACCTAAAAACAATTGGTGAGTGATTAACAGCAAACGTTTGAGGTCTTTAAAACCTCTAAGAGCCATTGATAATCACTCTCTGAAAGGCAATAAAACCACGTGTGTGACATGTTAACAATATAATATTTAATACACGCGTTCTGAGTGCAAATTGAAATAACCATGTCTTTTCGGGGGTCGTTAATACTGACCGTCTGAGGGCTTCTCGGCATTATCAGAGAGCCAGTCGAACTCCTCCTCTCCGGAGCCAACGTCGCCATCGTCAGGGGAGTCGCGAAGAATGCAGTTGGTGTCCCTTGGCCAGTTGCAAACCTGTGAAGGAATATGGAAATGTTGAATAATACTATAAGTGACAACGTTTTTGGTCAAATTTTTGCTTTTTTTTTTTCTTCTTTCTCTTCGATAATTGTATCATCTTGCCACAACAGAAACAACACACCAATAGAATTCAACAAGCTGACTCCCCCGTTGTTGATAAAGTATTTTTAGCATTTAATATTTTGTCAGAGTGTAGAAGCTATTAGGCTGGCTAGTCCGTTGAAGTAGCACAGCTCACTAAAGGCTGACGTTTTTTTGCATTTTAGTGTTTGGTTTAGTGACTGAGGTAGCCCACTCTAGTTAGGATGCATTGCATCCGACTCCATGCTCTTAGTGGTTACAATAGCGACGATAATCCGCCAACATCTGGTGGTAGATTTTTAGTTCGCAATCTTGTTTCCTAAAGAAAACTCACCTGCAGAACAAAGTCGAAATACAGGCCACCGGGGCAGACAAACAGCACTTCCTCACCGTGGGCACACATGAAGAACTTTGTGCAGTCGGTGAAGTGAGGCAACAGGAGAAATATCTGGAAAGAGGATTTATTACACTTCTTTCAAAACGGATCACGTGAATGCATTGGTTGAAATTATCTATGGCATAGCAACGTAGCGGTTCTTGCTGTTGCTTGAGCGGTGAATTAAGAAGTAGTATGTAGCACAGAAGACTGACAAACAAGAAACCCACCTAGGTAGTTTTTTTTTTTTATTTAAGATTTGTATGCTATGATCACCACGCATGGCGAGCGTCTTGGGGATCGCATGATACGTGCACGGAAGCCACTGTTACACAACTTCCGGATTTTCCCCTAATCGCCTCCTAAGACACTCTCGGAATGGAATGGGTAATGAAGACGTTTTTCTGTGTTAGGGCCACGCAACAGTTCGCTGTTTCACGAATGGGTAAGTCTGTCCACGTGAGTACCACGACCTCACAGAAGACAGGCGTAGAGTGGATGTGTCATACATACATTTACGGTGCATCGTCATACTTCCGTGTTTCGTCTGGTGAGTGAAGTAGCCAGGGCCCACTTTGTTAAAAAGTGGCAACGCATCTGGATTCCTAGGGCTGTGAAATCTAAATTTGCCCATATCTTTCTATCGTGGTACCTCACGACCATGATTTTATACACCTAATAGGGACTATAGACTTCAGCATCTGGTATAAATTTCACTTTCGAGATCCACACGTTCCTGAGAAAACCGGTGGTGACACACGGACAGACTGGCGGACAAGAGCACTCTCTTGTAAGGGTCCTTTTTACCTTTTAAGGTACGAAAACCTAAAAAGAATGAAGATAACGAGACCGCAGTTTCCTGTCGGCTCTTCACTGGACAGGTCTAGCGAACCAGTGGTAGTTTTTTGACATTCATCGTGTTACGGCGCCTGTAGCGCCACCCGTGGTAGGATCGAAGAAGCCATCTGCCGTTACTATCATCTGTGTATCACCCCATTAACACCCGAATTTTCAACACATCGAAAGCTTAAAATAAACCTATATTGAATAGAGAAATTTTGGCTTTGAACTTACCTGCCCATTGGGGTCGCATGACAGCTCGTTGGGGTCTACCCCTTCGAAAGGCCTGTAAACATTTGTCTCATTTGTTTTCGCGGGGGCTGCGGTGGTGGTCGTGGTCGTGGTGGTGGTGGTCGTGGAGTTGCCGTCCGCTTTCGCCGTGGTCGTGGTGGCGTTGGTGTCGGCCGCCGCGGCTGAACCCAGCAGGAGAAGCGCCGTCACTAGTTTTCCTGGTCGCAAAGCACGTTTTGTTTTAATATTAATACGTGACGCAAAAACTTTGTACTACCCCTTTTTACGAATTGCGCGAACGGAGGAGTGAAACTTCCCATACATAGTTTATATAGAGGAGTGCAGAATGCTAATATTTTTTTTTAATTATGAATAATAAATATATGAAATAAATATAGAAAACATGACACACTACCATGTATTCGTCACACACACGCATATATACCATTTTGTTTATTGTGTTTGAGAATAGATTAATATTGTTAAAACTTATAATTTAAATTAATTATGGTCGACTTTCGACCACTAGTTTTAATAAGTACGTCATTAAGGTAGTGAAAAGTTACTGATGGGGAGGAAAAGTTGAAAAGCCAACACGTTACTAAAAAATTTATACTGTTGTATATAGTCATGAAAGCAAAAATATAAACGCCTATATATGTACCTACATCTTGTGTCAAGTTCTCTTCTGTACAGTGGATATAAATCTACAACAGAAATGCAACGCAAAGTCAATTTCAACGAGAGTTGACACCCTTCATGTATCTCCAATGTAGATTGTTTTTACTATAACTTAAGAATATGCCGGTTTTTTCACAATCGGAGGTTAAACTTGTTCAGTCTTATTAGGGTTCCGTACCAAAAGGGTAAAACGAGACTACGACTTCGCTGTCTGTTCGTCTGTCAGTGTCATTTTCACATGATGTATATCTGTTGCCACTATAACAACAAATACTAAAAAGCAGAATAGAAAATGATTTAAGTGGAGCTCCCATACAACAGACATGATTTTTTTCGCCGCTTTTATAGATAATGGTACGGAACGCTTCGTGCGTGAGTCCGACTCGCACTTGGTCGGTATTTATAAAACTAATTTTATTTTCAAATGTTATTGTTTATACTAGGACTGAAATTATCTTAATATAACAATTTACCAGTCCTAAGTTTCCAAACCTTCAGTAAGTTTTTACATTCTTAAGAGCAGCCTAAATTTAATAAAAATCGTTTAAAGAGTGGTCCCTATGAATCGGTGCTAAGCTATGGGCTCCAGTGCTGAAGGTCATGGGTACGATTCCATTACAAGGTCGGGGTGTTAATTCCCATGGAGGATTGACGTTGGGCAGGTGGCCGTTCGTACATAAAGTATCACGGAATTGAAGTGATTCTCATTTAGTGTCGATCTCACATAGACTGGACAAGAATAGGAGAAAGAAAGAATAAGTAACAGCGGTGTAGCATACACCGAAACGCAAAGAAATAGCCAAGGACCCACCCTAGCAAATAGCAAAGAACCCACGCACAAAAGGAACCTGTATTCGTCATTAACGGAATAATGTATTTATATTTAACTGATACTTTAGAACTTTGCTCGCATTTAATCTATCCAGTTATTCAATAATCGTAATAAAGATTTAGGCAGTGTTAATTCAAGGCCTGATAATGCTTTAAAGGTGTCATGAGTGCCGGCACTGGTAATGCATTATGAGTGCCGGCACTGGTAATGCATTATGAGTGCCGCCAGAAAGATTCATTACCAATAGCCTATGAGTCGATAAGCCGTTAATCTGATATAGCTAATCTGGTATAAGTAATATGACGTAGATTGTTTATCCGTTTGTGGCAATCACAGCAACCGCTGATTCGTCCAACTATTCGTAATGTGATTATTTTCCTTTAGTTTTTATCTTCACCGATTTCTCGGAAACGTTTTAATACATTTTTAATAGACACTATACGCTGTATTGAAAATCACTACTATAAGAACTACTTTTCAGTGCATCCATGCTATGCTTTTGAGCTTTTGTAGTTTAATGTTCATTTACAATGTTCATATCATTAAACAATTATTTCTCAAAACAACAGTCATTGAACACAACATGTGATAGATTGACATTTGGATTCCCTTACAATACAGAACCCTCTCCACATGACCAACTCGAACTTGATCGGGTGGTTTTTTTTTGTAATTAAATCTTTGTGTGACATCTCTACTTAAGAATGTTTCGATTGTTTCAAAGTTACAGATCGATCGAACGATTAATCACTGAGATCACTCGCTCGATACGTCTATCAGTGATCGGCGTCTGCTTCATGTACAGATAATGCAACGTAGATGTTATCTTTGTGCAATGGTGCATTAAACGGCACATGTTTTATTGATTGTGAAAATGATTCTGTTGCGTCTTCGCGTAATCTGTTATTTTTCTATCGCACGCAATCGTGACTTCCCGTCGGTTCAAAATATTGCGGAGGCTATGGACGATTTGATCTGTTACTCGATATAATTCATTAGTTCCTTTATACTGTTGTTCTCAACAGAAACTGCTTTCCGAACCGGTGGTACCTTAAGAACCTATATACATAATCTTTGATGTAAAATTTGACGATTCATAAGAGCGCGCAAGCGTCTATTTGAATAAATATATTTTTGATTTTGATTTTGACTGAGGTTTCTCGGATATTTTGAGTGTTTACCCAGATTTTTCTGTACATTCATAGCAAATAACAAGGTCGTCATCATCATCATATTGAAAACATCCTATTCGATCCACCGCTGAACGTAGACATTTATACATTACATACATTACTTACTCATACATTGCCACGAAGAGCGATCGTGAGCCGCCTGTACACATCTACTTCCCAACCAACGATACGATTAAAACGATACGATTTGTTACGATAATCGAATCACTAATCTTCATTTCATGAGATTTTTTTTTATTTAAGACACACCAACAGTATACATATTTACACAATTTCCAAAAAAGGATAAAATCAAAAAACATTGGACCTAATATGTACACCTATAACAGGTGTGTACAACATTTACAATATTGTGACAAAGTTTAATAAACAAAAAAACTAATTCATAAAAAATTAAATACAAAGAATAGACTAACAAAAAAGAATCAAAAATAAATTAAAAAATAAATTCACTTTAATTTAAAGAATACTATACTATAATATATACTAATGAAATAACTCCAGTACTTTCTTTTTGTAAACATCAGGGGAATTGTTGTATTGTTGCATTGTTGTATAGCAACAGCCTATATATGTTCCACTGCTGGGCAAAGGCCTTCTGTTTCTGGCCTATACAAAGGGTAATACGACATAGTCCACCACGCAGCCCTACTGGAAATTGGCGGACTTCACATATCTTCGAAATATTTTTTTTAGGAAAATATTTCGAAGATATCTTCGAAATATTTTTTTTACGAAAATAGGCAGGTTGCCTCAAGATGTTATCCTTACCGTTGAGCACGTGATAAGTCAGCACTACCTATAGTGTATAGGTAGTAAAATTAACAATTTTATTGGTGCCGGCACCGGGGATTGAACTCAGGTTACTCGAGTATATGGAATTAAAAGCAAGCTCCCGGATAATGAGGTATCATGGCTCAATATTTTTTTTATGTGAAAAGTTGCCAAACGAGCAAACGGTTCACCTGATATTAAGTGAATTGCCGCCCATGGGCATCTGCTACACCCGAGGATTGCAGATGCGTTGACAACCTTTTGAAAATTAGGCTCCGGCCACCTCACTCACCAGATGAAACGCGAAAGCATTATACTTCCAATTCATGTCGGTCTTCTGTGAGGTCGTGGTACTTACCCGGACGAGCCTGCCCATTCGTGCAACAGCTGAGGCTGCTGCGTGGCCCTACCACAGTTGAAGTAAAGCTATAGTGTATTAAAGTATTTATAGCAGTCCCCGCATGCCTCTGATACTCATTACACAACTAATATTTGACTACTGCGCAATTAAGTATATTTTTCAACATGTTTCATGGGACCTATATCCCTGGGTCGTCTTATATAGTGTTGGACCAACTGCAGTTCGCCCGGGAACGCCATCAGGTTTAAGTGCTAATTACGGGTACCAATGCTCTCTCGTCAATAGAACTCGTCTAACGATTTAAACGTTTGATCACGGGCGGTTCCGACACCTCAGATTATAGAAGCTTTCTTCGAGGTCATTACTCTTTCTCGAAAGAGCAAAAATATGTTTCAGAGATAGGCAGCTTTGAATTTTTCTAACAACCATGAACCAATTTGTAATACGCAGCCTACGCCCTGACTTCAGACGGATTTGCGAATTACAATTGATCCTTTGCAAAATATGCAATCCACGCAAATGCTGAATGCAGGTTCAATCAATATGGATAAACTGAAAAAGAATCTCTTTTTCTTCCTTTGAATTATTTAGCTACGATTCTAAAAACATTTTCTATTGCGAACTTTGTTTGCTTATAGCTTTTGGGGAGTGGATTGAAATACGAAAATTTTAGTTTTAAATGTTTGAAAAGCTGACTGGCTGGAAATACCCCTATTCCGATAAAGATTAATCTAAATTCTTCTCATCAATTACAGGAACGGGACATTTAAAAAATAATTGCTAAATTGAGATGACTTGAAATTCGCAACAAAATCACTGAATGAATCATAATGACTAATCTCCGATGGAAACCAATAGATTATAGAAGTCGCTAAAACCTTTTTGTCTTTGGTATTTTATAAATTCCATCGAATGTTTTTATCGTAGTGCGGGATCTTTAGCAAGAGAGCTTAAGCTAATCTAGGTGTTTATAATCTTCATCTGATATACAATATACTAATAGGTCGGATCGAGTTCTTGCGTTTTTTGTATGAGTAAAGTTACAGTTAAATCTCTTCGGAGGTCCTGTTTGTATGTGGCTGGTTTTAGAACGGTGGTAGGGCCACGTAACAATCTTCGCTGTTGCACGAATGGGCAGGTCCATCCGGGTAAGTACCACGATCTCACTGAAGAAGTAGATCCGGGTAAGTACCACACGTGAAGTGGATGTGTTAGCATTCCGCGTTTCGTCTGGTGAGTGAGGTAGCCGGGGCTAACTTTATTAAAATGTGGCAGCAGATGCGCTGCCACATTTTAATAAATGTCAATGAAAATGTCAATGGGCGGCAGTTATCAATTTTATATCAGGTGAACCATCATAAAAAAGTACCACTAAATATGACATTTAAAAAATGACATTTAAAAACAAATTTTTTAACGAGCACAAAAAAAGGCAGATTATAACCTGACCACAGCATATCAACCAATAGATGTCACTAAAATCTTTGGCAAAAAACCCAAGAAGCTACGATTACAGAGGCTCACACACGATTAAATGTCTCCAAGGAACAGACAAGCACTGTTCAAGGCCGTACAATACTTTGGACATAAGTGACGTTCTTTCTTTATAAAGGCCTTCATAAATATTGTATAATTTTTGACAACACTGGCGACGGTATGGAAGAACTCACCATCATCCATAAAATTTTTAAAAATTTGTTAAATTATTAATTACAATAAATTTTTATGGTAGTGTTCCACGACGTTTTATTTGGACCCTAACAACGGTAAAATCACGCAATGGTTCCTTGCATCACGCAAGGAACCATTCACCAACCGGAACCAATTCACACTGTCTCCAGGGTGCACTTAATAATGCGTAGTGGCCAAATAATCAAATGTCAAATAACATCGTCGAGACCATGAGAAAGTAATATATTCATGACCACAATGACTTTGCTGTTAACACCGCCTGGTGAGGTCTCACAAACTCAAGGACTTGTTGGACCAAACTGCTGAAATCTAGTCTTCGACGAACTACTGGATCTGGAACTATCGGGAGACGACGACGACGTGACACCATAAGGACCTGACGTAAGTTCTACCTAATACCAATACCACATTTAATCTAATAGGTAATAGATTATGGCAAAGGCACCAAATAGAATTCTTCGGCCTAAAGAAAATGCAGTGCAAAATTAAAAAGTAAAAACAAATCAAATCCAAGTACAGTTTTACTCCATATAAATACATAAGCACATAAGTACATAATCCGATGTCTATTGATATGCTTCTCTTAAGGACCATAATTAATATTTTTATCGATGTATGTCTAATCTCTATCAACTAATCTAGATTATGTTCTATTAAATTTGAAAACTACAATACAGTATTGGAACAGGAAATATGTATACTTATATTTTTTTCAATTCCACTTTTTTTTTCTACCGGGATTAAATTATTCAATTTTAAAACCATACGTAAAACATTATATCCATAATTACCAGCATATCGATACTTAATCTGAAATTTGACGCAATTAGTCGCTTTTTTTAATATTTAAATACGCGCGATTATATTTAATCCATTTGTTCTGGCCAATCCATCGTTGTAATCTTTTAAATCACGGTCGGCCATTTCGAAGCGCGATTATACTTATTATTCCTGATTTTATTATTATCGAAAAAATAATAAAAATCGAAGAGTTTTAAAACAAACACGTAGGTATACATTCTTGTTTGTTTTAAAACCTTCACGGCGATAATCATGATTCAGACATCGATATGTCTGGCTCTGAATCACTGTCGTGCGCATTTAAATGTGGTATGTAATTAAAATAATACTGTTGTCGTAACTGAGAACGACATACTTTGTTACAAACGTTCCTTTTTGATACGGAGAAGGTGACAATAGGCAAATCCTAAAGTGTCATCTGTACTATTCGTGGTATTGCAATCCTCTTGCCAGTCTTCAAGAGAATTCGGCTATCTCACTCACCAGAACAGTGACCAAAACATTAAACCAAGTCATATCCTTTCGTCGTCTCCTTTCTCCTGTCCTTATCCCACCTAAGCCGAAATAGTTAGGTTAAGTTTTGTACAAGTTGAAGATATTAAGAAATATCAAGAATATCATCAAGTTGAAGATATTAAGAAATATCTTCAACTTGATAATATTTCTATAACTATAACTTCAAAGATTTATTCCATACGCGCAATTTTTATTTCAACGTGCGGATATATGTTGTGGCTTTATGTGCGGATATATGTTGTGGCTTTGTGTGCGGTCTTTATCTCTTACTTTTGTGCGCTTTTTTTCCCATTTTCGAATTAAATAACATGAATCGGCGTCAATAATGTCCAAAACCAAATTTAATTATTATCTATTTAAGAGTTATTTCTATTTTGTCACGCAAAAGAAGTATAACTTTTTATCTGCGTACAAGCATGAACATTTTTGTATTGAAATAACATGACATGATATTTTTACTACATGGCATGCGGTTCGGTACCTTAATAAATGTATGGAAACAAAACTATCCAAAGATAGACAACACTTAAGCTCATCAATTATAAAGCTATTTAACAAAAATAATGAAAAACGGCGTTTAAAAATCCCATATAATCCTTTCAGTAGTCCTTTGTTCTTCCTTCATACGTTCCTTTGTTTCCGTCTCCGTCTTATCTTGGTCGTTTAAATTGTAAAAAATATAAAACTCGATCAGTCCGATCAAAATACGCTTCCAATGTGATTGGGAAAAAAATTAATAAGTAGTATAACACATTTTCAGTATAGGAACTCAAACTTTTCTGGTGGTAGGGCCACGCAACAGTGTTTGCCGTTGCACGAATGGGCAGGTCCGTCCGGGTTAGTACCACGACCTCACAGAAGACCGGCGTCAAGTAGAAGTGTTACACTTCTGCGTT